GTGAGGTGAGACTGAGAAGTGAGCGACCAACGGCTTCACGCCCAGCACAATACGTGTCTTAGTTAGCTAGACCAGAGCTTGAGCAGAGATCATCCCGTTCGCTTAGCCATTGCCGAAACTCTCCAGGGAACCCCCCTCCTATACTCCCGTGAAAATCTTCAGGAGAAAACCGCGCAACTTCCGCCACAGCGGCCAGGACCACCCAGCAAACGCTTCCACGTACTATAGTTACCAATGACTCCGAGCTCAGGGACCCATTCGATGGCCTATCAGCGATAAGATTCGCAAAGAGACTGCCGGTCAGTTGGAGGGAGGGGTTTTTCCGTTTGTTACCGCAGAGCGGGTACCGCGCCAACACACTCGTATTCATGGTTCGGATCCCAAATGGAGCCGCCGTTTGTCGCCGTTCCAGCACGGGATGTCATCCCATCTTTCTGCATCGAAATCCAGGCACTGCTGAGTGGTAGACGATATCGCCGGTCATCCGGTGGATAAACCTGTTGCATCCATGAAGCAGAGCTGGCGATCGTTCCAAGGAAACGGCTCCGAGAGAAGAGGCATTTTCGACGGGAATAGGGCGTGGACTCTGACCGGTTCTTGGCTAGTACGCATTATCCGCGATGCTCGGGCTGTGCTAGAGGTCTATTTTGGCTGGGACATCGCTGCCGCTCGTGGCGGTGAAGTGCTCCTGGCAGCTTGAAGCTTGCCCGGACAGCTTCCAGCTCGAGCTTTCATCCATGCGCTGAGCTTGCTGTTCAATTGAGATTTTTTTTTTCTCGCCGCCGCCTTATGCCGAGCTGGAAGCTTTACGGGGAGAGGAGTCAGAGTTTCGCGGGCATCAACTCAACCACTCGAAATCTCGATGGCAGCACCACCACCCATTGTCCATCCAGCTGACTTCTCGGACTCTGAGAGGTAATCGGTCTCAGGAGTGAAACCCCCACCGAGCAAATCGCACCCCGCGATTCCGATCCCATCACATCACACATCATCCCACCTGCGCACAGCCGCCGCATCTGACTCTGGGCTCACATTCCCGCCCTTCCTTCTTACTCCCCCTCCTTCTGAGACCCTTCCCCTCCTTTTCTGAGTCTCGCTTGTCTTGAGGTCTCCACCCGCGCGCCGATTGGACGCTCGACAAGCGCTCAGCTGCACGTCTTCGCTTTCGGCTCTGCATGTCCGCTGCCGCAGTCGAGCCCGTCTCCCCCAGGCTGAAGCGCCGCGGCGTTTGCCTTATTCCCTTTCCCGTGCTCCCTTGAGGGCTGCGTCCTCGACGCACATATGCAGTGCGTGCCAATAGCCGACAAGGACAGCGAGGGAGCAATAGTTTGCAAACAGACTGGCCAAAGAGTCGAGGAGCCTGCCCTCCATCATGAAGCACTGATTGCATACCCCGAGCCAACCGGCTCTCCGCCGCGTGCTGTATAACCGATAGGAAATAGGAGGCATACCCGAGTTGGTTGAGTAGCATCCGTACAAGTGTACGCCGATCACTCTTGGTCTCTGAAGCTTATCCTACCCAAATGTCTCAATGTTTCCTCAAACCGTCCTCGCGGCTAGGGTGAACGGCATGCGTGCCTGGGGAATCCGGCACGCGGCGTCGTCGGGGGCGCCATTGGTCGTCGCGCGGCGTGGACTTGCGGCATCAGGCATCCGGAGCCGGGTAGGTAGCCAGACGGGCGGCCATGCGGGTGAGGAGCCAGTTTTTCCGGGCCACCATCTCTGTATGGTCCTTGCCTTCTCTCGAACCTCCTCGACTGGTCGTGAGACCGGCGTGTGAGGGCTGGACCTTTTACATCGTCGGTGTCTGCGTGGTCCCGCTTGCTACAACGAGGGCCGAGTCTGATAGACCGCCGTCGATGTCCCCTAGCCTGATTCGGTAGACCGCAAAAGGCACCGTATAAGCACGCGACGTAGCTATCAAGCCGGGGGGGGGGGGCAGGAACACGAGAGAAAGGGGTCCCGGTTGGCGAGTACAGGATCGAGATGCAGGTCGGGGGCGCGGGAGGCCCAGGCACCCTCTGGCCTTCCCCTTTTTGCCTCTCCCATGTGTTCTTCGCCAATCAGGCAACCATATACTTTTTTCCAAACCCAATAGGCGCATTCAATGGCGGGCGAAAAGGCGGATAGGGACCGGATTGGCCGGGACGGGGGAACGGCGGCGTGGGGATTGGTCCAAAATGGACAGACACGGGCGCACGACGCACCCGGGACTGGCAGCTGCGTTGGATGGCATGAGAAAGCGGGCGTGGTGACTGGGTAAGCTTCGTAGCCCCGGTGCTGACGACCCCGATATCTGGGTTGCACGGGGGTGGACGTGCAACGTGCTGCGTCCGGCTTATCGTGGCGGGTAAGGCTGGTTGCCGTCTCACATCAGCGCAGGCGGGCTCTCTGAATGATCGCTGCTGCGGCTTCTTTTTCCTCGAGTAGTTCACGGGGAGACATTGTTTTGAGGGCGGGGTCGATCAGCTGGAGGGGGACGCTTCTCACATCAGCGGTGGGCGCTTGGGAGATGTCTGAAGTGAAGGACATAGGTTGTCACGGGCGGGGTGCCCGAGGTGCGCATCCCGCGCCGTGGGCGAGGAACGCCGTGTCTCGGTGCGTACTCGTTGGGATCCAATGGAGATGCTGGATCACCTCCCCAGCTGGACATGCCTAAGGCGGAACAAGGTGAGCGGGCAGCCAGCCTCGTCGACTGACCTCGGTGTGCGTGAGACATGATCCCCCGCAAGCCGCATGCCGCGGTGCCTGATATCGAACGGGCGTTGTGTCAAAGTGCAAGAACAGGCACCCGAGACGTCTGGCGTGCTCCAAAGTGCAAGAAGCCGGCACACCGGCGCTTACCAGCCGTAGATTGGAGCATCTTGGTTGGATTTCCTGGATGGGTTGAGGAACTTTGCTGAGCGTGCAGGCACACGACGGCGTATGGGGTGCGTCAAAGTGCAAAAAGAGGCACCCAATACCCCCGGCTCGCAGCCTGATGGTCATCGGAGGCATGTTGAGTGTTGTTTTGAGGACTCGAGGATGAGCGGTCCCCTTCTTAGTGCTGACTGGCGAGGAGACGCGGTCGAGGAGTCACGGCGTCTGGGTTTGTATGGGGTTACGGGGACGTTTGTGGGAACGTGTGAAGCTATTGGCTGCAACGTCCAAACCTACGACTTGCTCGTGAGAAGGGGCTGGTTGTGTCGTGCCTGGTGGTGTTTGCCGTGTTCTACGGGGTGCAGCAGTGTGCAATAACAAGCACCGAGGCGTCTATGCTTCTGGTCCACAGCCTGACGGATGGCTTCTGGCTGTTTCGGGATGTATGCCTAGCCTTCTCTTGGGGGCCAGGGACGCAAAACGTTTGAATGTCTGGGGGTTACTCGCGAGATGGGGTTTGAGGATATCGTGACTGGGTAATGTGCGAGACGTGGGAGGCGCCTAGACATGCAGTCACCGAGGCACTTTGGGAGCGATCAAACATGGTACTCTGGAAGTTGTAGAGGTCTGCCATCGTGTCATGGGGTTAAACGCTTCTCGATGCTACTTGATGGGTACTCTTCCTCTCCTCGCCGCGAAATACTCGGTGTGGATGCGAATGTTCAAAAACGTGTACTCCCAAGGTAGGTTATCTAAGTGCTTCCAAGCCTCAACAAGTTAAGCATCAAGATCGACAGTACAGTTACCGCAAGGATCGTCGAGCCTCCCAGGTTATTGCAGTAGTGGCCGAGGGCTATGGCGCAGCTCAGCCAGCCTCGTGGTGCCGTTGTCTGCCATGCATGTCTTGAAGCCCGGTGATCGAGGGTGAACGGTGGCATACAAGTAGATAAAAGAAGTCGTGCATGGCAGCACCCGGTGCTTCTTCCTGGTGAGGCGCATTGTCCCTCTGATGCTTGGCAGTGAGGCTACCGTCCATGTAGGTTTCAAACCGTCAAGCACGAAACGCCCGTCCTGAACCCCTTTTCGGTGACTGCCTTGCGTTGAGGAGTGATAGGGACTGAACAGGCCCAGGTTATTAGAGCCAAGCCTCACATTAGTCTTGTCCTCAAAGCTGCAGCAGCTGATGTGACGGGAAATGAGGCATCCAAGCACAGTCGTTGAGGTCAACCTCGAGCCGCGAGTGGCCTTGCGTGTCGAACGCCTCACTTCCTCTTCACCGAGTCTCACACTTTTCCTCCTGAGGAATCTTCATATCATGCAGAGTAGACAACCGAATGTTCATAGACAATCACCCCTGAGGATTGGCAGACGTGCTCTAACATTGGGATGGGCTCGAGCGGCCTCCAGTCACGGTAGCGAGCCTTGCATGTCGATCCCTCAAGCCTCATTCACAACGTGCAAAACAGGCAACCGGCGGATACCCGCATCCAATCAATAGACTGCACAATTCCTCCGAGGCTGTCATACCTCGAACCACCACCCCGCCGGTCTCCCCTGGACGGCTTCGTCAACTACGGGACCTGGCGAGTTCCATGCTTGGATGACTCTGAGGAGACACGAAGAGGCAGGACATCAAGGCATCTAGCCCCCAACCTTGAATGCTAAAGTGCCAGTCCGGCATTCTTTGTCACAACAACGACGCGCTTCAAAGTGGATTGGGGACGACATGCACCCGCGCGGCGCGTGGCATCCTCTCTGCGCCCGCCCCATCCGCCGCCCCTGTGAGACCCGTCCTCAGACCGCAGCCGGGCGAAGACGACTGTGCAAACTTTAGCGTTGCGTACGTGTTCTGTTCCACGAATAAGATTTGCCAAGATCCCCAAGACGGTCGTATGCGTCTTGGGTGATGGAGAGTCCAGCCGACAGGAATGGAGGGTTAGGGTTACCTGGCTCGCTCGTCTGTCTTGAGTACAGTTTTGAGGATGACGCGGTTTTGCTAATCTTCAACTATCGACCGGGTCCTAGGAGGACATATTACCGTGTCCGCAGGTTCTTTCGACAATAGAGAAATCATCAACTTTGCCGCTTCCCTACACAGCACCTTCCATCCAGCTCTCCTTGACGCGGCACTGCCAAGTCCGTCACCCGTCCTCCGCATACACGATCTGAGGCATACCGTCGCGCGTCCACTCCCACACCGGCAGGTCCAGATCCACGACGATGGGCTTGTTAACCGTCTTCCCGCCAACGTGGGGGTAGCTCTTGGCCATGATGGCGCAGTTGACCACGCACGTCTCCCGCCGACCCAACCGTCCGGCCAGCGCGGCAGTGTCGCTTCGTGGAGAGTTCGGGTCTCCTCCGAGTCCGCACGTGCCGAGCCCGGGTTCCGCGGCGGGTTCGGGGATCCTGCCGGCGGCGGACGGCACGGAGGTGGTGGTCGTTCCAACCTCTGGTGAATCATCCTTTTCCTTTGGATGAGAACCGTCGTTGCGTAGAGGGTTTCCACCCTTGGCTGTCAGGTTCACGAGGGACTGCTTGTTGCCCTGCCCGGGATCGTCCCACCCTTCGACCCCCTCCTCCTTGAAAGCTGTGTTGGTGCACTCCAGGTCCCAGCGCACTCGTTCCACACCGCGACCTTCGTGGACATGTCCGCAGACAGCAAGCCGAGGCCTCACTCGCCACAGCGCGCGCCTCAACGCCTCGCACCCCGCGGCACGGCGGGCACGAGACTCATCGCAGTGCGTGTGTGGCGGGGTGTGCGTCACAACGACGTCTGCGTCAAGCGGGATGTCGTCCCATAACGTGGGCAAGTCGGCAGTGGCGCCAACGCTGCCGTGCTGAGGCGCGTCGTAGCCGAACGCCCAGAGACCGTTGCGCGGCGAGTACGGCGACCCGAAGACGGAGAAGGAAGTGTGTGGGCCCGAGGACGAGGAGAGGCGGACTGTTGCGGATTCGTGGTTGAGGTAGGTTATCGTTGGTGAGTTGGCGAAGAGGGCGATGCAGTCTTGGGGAGACTGCGGTGCTTGGCTGTGGAGGTGACTCCCATGTTGGGCGTAGAAGTCTGGGTCCAGCGTCAAGTCATGGTTACCTGGTCGGGTGAGTATGTGTTCAATTTGCCGGACGAACGATGAAACGAGCCAGTGGGCAAAGGCACACAAGACAGACAAGACAGACAGTACCTGGAATGACAATCTTGGTTTCAAAGTCTGCCTTTTCAAGCCATTGGACGGCCCGTGACAACTAGGCTCAGAGTCAGTTCCAACATGTCGAGACATTCAGCAAGCGTCATCCAGGCGCCACTCGGCGTGCCATGTAGGGCATGTTTGTTTATTCATTGCACACGAACATTCCAGAGACAAGCTCATCTCTGGCCGAACGCCTCCCACATGGCTCCCGAACGATAGCTCGATCGGCTACAAGGAAGGACCCGACACCGGACCGTTGACAGAGCACGCACGGCCACGCACCTCGGAATAGCTGCCTTGGTTCGTCAGGTCCCCCGCGTGGATCAGCACGTCGCCCTTGGGCAGCTTGACGGCGGTGTTGTGAGTATCGGAGACGCAGACGAACCGGGTCCTCCGCAGGACCGGCTGACGTCGCTGGCGCCGCGGCCCCTGAGAGGTGCCGTAGCAGTCCATGGTCCCGGCAGCGTTCGGCATGGATCGGGGGGGGGGACGTGCGGACGCAGGCTGCGAGTGTGGTGGTGGCCGGCAGATGATGGGGCCGGTATGGGAGTTCGGACTGTGGATCGTTGGTAAAAGTGTCAGTCATCAATAGGTAACCAGGGGTCTGGCCCAACAGGGAGAGGTGCATTTACCAGAGATTGTGAAGGAGCGGACAATCAAGTGATTTGTGCAGGAGATCAGGGTCTAGGAATGCATCGGATAACAGACGGGTCAGTCAGACAGAATTATGTCGTGCGTGTCAGCGGATAGGCAGCCAAGAGTGGCGGCCTGGTATGTACTACGTCCGAGGATGTTTGTGCGTCGTGTGCGGCGAGTGCTTCATTTGAAACCGCTTGTGACTATGAAGACAATCCGGCACTGGGTGCTTGGGGCCGTGCACGCTTCCGTCTTGCCTCTCCGTCAGTCGTCCCTCTCTTCTCCTCTCCTCTCCTGTCAGAGTTTCCGATGACAGGCAAGCCAGGCCCGATGTCAGCGAGGTTCCTTCCCGGGCGGCGGATGCAGGTCCTCGACGGCTGCATAGTATCCGTAGATTGCTCGGAAATTATAAGGAAAGGACGATCTGAGAGTTTGGGCCCCTGCGAGATGGAGACGGAGCTGCAGAGCAAAGGTCAGAAGATATGAGACTGGCCCTTCTAGAAGGAAATAGGGGATGAATCGTGCCGATGGATGGAGACGATCTCGTCGGTATGTCCGCTGCCTGGGTACTGGGCGCTCGCTGCCTGCACATTGCCGGGCATCGCGAAGTTTCCGCAAACAAGCCATGAGCGGTTCGCTCTCGTCGTCCCCGAGGGCCTTGATTGGCCGAGCCGCCTAGGAAATACATAGTATCGTCGGATGTGGGGCCGGGGACTGTGTGTCTCTCGTTATGCGACATCCCAGGAACTCATGAACCACCGCCATTGGTCGGGACGGCGATGAAGGGGCAATCCTCGTTGGATGCTTGTGGCCGGGGATCTGGGTGCTGAACACAGCGAACCCAGATGATAGGGCGGGAAGCACGACACGAGATCAATGGGAGGGGCGACCGAGACGAGACGAGACATGCCAGCCCATCTGTCTGTCTGCAGTCTGATGGGAATGGCCAGATGCAGAGACAAAACGGCGTCTCTGCAGGCGACGCCAGAGGGAGGGAAAAAAGAAAACAATCCAGTTTCCGTGCTGCGCGAGACATGCGCAAGCGGCAGACACGAACAGGCCAAGCACAAGCCACCAACCAAGCCGAAGCTTTCGGTCTCTCAAACGTCGCTCTGGGTGAGAATGTTCCGAGGCTTAGACGCGGACAGGCATAATTCCAGCGGCTGTCCCATAGCATCTGACCGAGAGAGCAAGAGAGCGAGCGAGAGAGACAGAGTGAGAGAGACCGGTAATCGTTGACGTTTGGTGACTGATGAGCGAGATTGGGTTCGCCGATTCAAGGAGAACCGGGGGCACAGACCGTTGAGATTCCCAGTTGGCGGTTTCTGGGATTGATGATTGATTGATTACATGGGGCCCAGGAGGCGCAAATGATGAGGTGCCGGGGGGGTCAGAGGAGGACGGCCAGGGTCTCGAGGGTCCAGAAGGCACCGGCACAGTGCGCCTTCCTCCGTTGTCGTCTTACATAATCTGCGCGCGTGCACACACATACACACACACGGCACAGCAGAGACACAAACACAATTCGCTTGTGCCTGAGGATGATAGGTTTTATTCAACCCTCGATGCGTGGTTCCGAAGCTGTCTGTCTCCTGTCAACAGCCCCGATCTCGCCAGGTCACCATGGGCCCGGAACCGAAATATAGTATAAATAAACAAACGCGCGGCTGACGTGGCGCTGGATCTCGCCGCCGACGGAATCTTGGTCGTCTAGACGCTTGGGTGACGTTGAATTTGGGTCCCGGATTAGCTGGCTGATCTGGATGGGATGAGCCTGCGTGACAGGTGACGATGTCTAGCATATCAGTTTATGCTAAGCACGGCAAGTGTCCCCGTTTCCGAGCGTCTGTTGCCAACCGTAGTCCTGTTCTAGTGCGCCTATGCGAGCGTAGCCTCTGCTCTCCTGGTGCTCCCCCCCGTGGGCCCCGGCCGTTTCGACCCATGGTTCTTCAACGGTCTCACCCACTCACGGACGAATCTCCACCCCAATTACCAGCGAAACCCCCGAGAGAATTCTCCTTTTCCTGACTTGTTGCGGCTCCGATGCGGGAACCCTGCTGCTCGGGTTTGGGGCCTTGGGGCTTTGGGGGGGGCAGTGATGACGGGAATAGCCTCAGGAGAAAATAGGAGGGCGATCGATCCGCCCGTTAAGCCGTCGAGAATCGGGCGCCGTGTACACGAGATGGGCCAAGGGGCCGTCGTCCGAGCGCAGTTGATGCACTGTATCCCATCGCGTTCGTCTGCTATTAGCCCGCATGCTACCTACGATCCGCTGCTGCTGGCGCTACAGAAGCGGGCGACTTGGACCTCGTCTCTGTCTCTGTCTCTCCGCTCTGAATCAGCGCCATGCCGTCCAGGCTTTCTTGTTCCTGTGTGCCGTCATGCGCCCATCCTGGCCTCTCCCGTGAGATGCGGCGTCAGAGGAACAAAGAGAGGTGGGCCGCTGCGCGGGACTCTGCAGTCTCGCCAGGCTGTGGAAAGAATAAAGACGTCTGGCGGCAGTCATTGGCCTGTGCTTTGCAGCTGTCTTGCGTCGTGCGTCCGTCGTCAGTACTATAGACAGCAAAGAGAGGCTGGACTCGGGCGTGTTTCTCCAATGAGAGACTCGGAGCCCGTCCAGCCAAATCGTTCCGCGGCCGGGCGTACCAATCGGTTGCGTTTGCTCCAACCATGGCCGCTCGTTCCCCCCTCTTCCCCTCATGCACCCAGTTTTTTTTTCTTCCATATCATCGACCGGCATGAGCGAATATGTTTTCTTCTCATGCCTTGCTTTCCGACGGGACTGTGATGAAGGAGATGTCCGAGCATACCTACTCGTCACTGGCCATAGAGATGCCATATGCAGTCGCACGGGGAAAAGGCGCCCCGTGCGAGGTTGGGACGAAGATTGCCAAATGCTACTCTACTCCCAGCAGCATATCTTGCCTAATCTTATTGTTGTCTTCTTTTCTTGACAAAACGGGACCCCCCCCATGATGGGCCACACCTGCCGGGCTACAGAGGTACATTGGACCCGATGCTTGCTTGCTTGCTCCTCCTCTCTTGTTATTCGCCGCCTCGACGGTGCCTCATTTTCCTTCCTATCAGCGGTCGCGGTTCCCCAAAAGAGGGAATCCCACGCCTTGCACATGTGGGTTCGCTCCCCGTCACTGGGCCAGGGTCTGACCAACCAGTAGCCTCGGATGGGAAAAAGCGGCTAGCTCATATCGGCTCTAGCGCATCTTCCACAGAAAGAGAGTACAGGTACGTACCTCCACAGCGGGAGGAGAAACACACCTGCTCTGGGAGGAGCACCGCACTGCACCGCACCAACCCAACCCAACCCAGCCCACCTACTACCTAGGTATGTATACATAGTAGGTAGGTACTATGGGTATGTACCTGCCTGGCCCGCCTACACGTCCCTCACCCCCATCGTCCCGTCCTCGCACTGTGCCCTCTTGCGGTACGACTGTGCGGCCTTCCTCCACTCATCCATGCTCCTCCTCTCTTTCACCTGTTCATTCAGTTCCCCGTCTTTATCCTCTGTCTTGGTTTTTGTCTCTCTTTCTCTTCCTCTTGTCGTGTTGTTGCTCTGCGTTGCGCCTAGACACTGGCACTGTGGAATCCTCGCTGAGAGCGGCCACCAAGCAAAGACAGCAGACGCAGTACGCAGTACGCAGAGACGACGGACAGCAGCGTCCTCGACAGACACCACTGCCACCACCACCAACCACTACTACTACCATCACCACCACACCACCATCGCCGCCGCCGCGAATGGCCTCCCGCTGAAGCTTCCTTACTATTCCCCTTTCGATTCCACAAGACTCCTTTTTTCCAACCCACCAAACCACGTTCCTTGACACCTTTCCCCCGACCCCGTCCTCCGGTCTTTATCCCGTCTCAACGCCATCTTGTTTTCCTTTGTTTCGACCTTCAGTCCGACCTGGTTCCTGATTGTCCTAACCCTCCCACCGTCGCCATTCGTGAACGCCTCCTAATAAGCCGCCTCTACCGGTCGACCACCGCCGCAGCATACCAACCACGCTGGGACACACAGTCCACGACGCAATTCCAATCTCCCACCCCCCGTCCTCCACCCGCGCCATCTTCGCTTCCTCACTGTTCTCGACGCGCCGCCAATTCATCCCATTCTTGGCCCGATATCCTCTTCGCCTTCACGACACTTCTTTAACCGCTGCCGACGACCTCGTAACCACTCCGCACACGATAGCCCTGGAGACTGCTGGTCCTCCAGCTCTCCAGCCGTCGCGATGGCCGCCTTGTCCGCCGCGCCGGCCACTGCCAACACCATCACGCCGCCCAGCAGCAGTCACGGCAATGGCAACCACGGTGCCTGGAACAGTTACGCGACGGGCGACACCGAGGTGAGTTGCTTCTTCCTTGAGCCGCTGGTTTCCCCCATTGGCTCCTGAACGCACTCGTACGCGAGCGCACATGCTGACGCCGTCCTGCAGAATCTGCAGAAAAGATCTCTGGACAAGTCCGACCATGCGAACCGAGCACCCCTGGCACAGAACGGCAACTCGGCCAACATTTACGAATACGGCTTCGAGCCCCTGCCGCCCCCGCGGAAGAAGGCATCCAACGATAACATTTCCCTGACCAAGAGCAACAGGTCGTGGGATAGGTCAAACCGTCGCGACCACGACACATCGAAGAGCGGGCTGAGCGCTGCGGACGATGTCTTTGAAGGAAGGAGCGGACCGGGCGAGAAGCGACCCACGAACGAGATAACAGGCGTCACGGACGACGACAAGTGGATCCACCGCGACAAATTGGCCAAGATTGAGAGTCAGGAGCTCCAGGCTGCCGGTATCATCTTGCCGAGGGTGCGCGCGAGCAGCAGACCCCGCAGGGGTCGTAGCGAGGAGAAGATGAACGGGAGCTCCAAGCGGACCACGTCTGCTCCCCCGGACGATGAGATCCCTCTCCCGAGATCGAGGAAAAGTTCCATCTCGCCCGAGTACAGAGTCCCCGAGGACAAGATGCCCGAGGATACCCATAGCTGGGATCTGCGGCTGCCCGAGGAAATTGAGAGCGACGAGGCCTACTGGGTCTCAATGGCCGACAAGAAGAGCGGTTCCAAGATCCCTGTGGCCAAGGCCAGCCCAGCCCCCATCCCCGAGTTCTACCTGGAGAGGAACGCACCTTCCGGACGTAGGCGCAGCGGCGGTAGCGAGCTCGAGACGATAGCCTATCCAAAACCCCGACCGAGAAGCGGCAGCGCCAACACGCTCGGCGCCTCGTCGACTCTGCAGCCGGCGAAACGCAGCCAGACCGATGTGTCTCCCCGGAAAGGCAGCGGCGGCCCCTCGGCCGCGGGCAGGAAGACGTCGACCCAGGTCAAGGCTGGCGGGAAAAGCAAAACACGTGGCGGCAAGGACTCGACGGGCAGCATATCCGGAATCCGACCAACTACGAGGTCCGGGGATCTCTCGCCCGGCGCCAAGAGGCCGGAGGGTGACCCGCCATGGATGGTTGGATCCTACCGCCCTGATCCACGTCTTCCCCCCGAACAACAACTCCTTCCCACCGTCGCCAAACGATTGCAACAGGAGCAATGGGAAAGAGAGGGCAAGTATGGCAGTATATACGACAAGGAGTTTCGCCCGCTCACTGCGGACGGCCTGCTCATGCCGCCCGAAGCCGGATCGAGCACTATGGCCCCCGAGGAGGAGAAGCAGCAACAACATGATGAGTGGCCGCTCAAGGGAGATGCACCCAAGAGCCCACGTCGCCCAGCATCAAGCAGAGCACCTCGTACTCGACCATGCCCAAGATCTCCGACAAGCCGCAGACCAGCCCGCTGCCAAGCCCCCGCGGTCCCCTGAGTCCGATGATGCCGCCGCCGCCGCAGCAGCCTGCCGAAACCCAGACCGTCACCCGCGTACCCGACCACTCTTCTGCCGCCGACATGTCCATGAGCGGTGAAAAGAAGAAGAAGAGCGGGGGTTGTGGCTGCTGTATCGTCATGTAATGGCCTCGAGCTTCCGAGACTGACTGCAGCCTCACCACCAGTGCCATATATTCGTGTCTACATTACCCAACATACCCCTTTTCAACCGCGAGGCGAGCCTCCGACGACGTTACGAGTCTCCTAATTCCATTCAGAGCATCGGCCACTCTATTAGATGTATTTATCAACATATTCCCACCCGACTACTGCATCGTTCCCGAAGACGGTTGCCCCGAGAGCGCACCATGGTTCCAAGTTTCCTTTGTACCTTACCAAGCTTCCCGTTCAGCGTATTCCCATCCGGCGTGTGCCACTTCATGAGGAGGGGACTGAGGCGACGCGCCGAGTGATGAGGAATTCTGCGAGCTTTACTACAAAAGAAGCGGAGAGCGTTATTTGAATAATCAAAGTCTTGGGTGCCAATGCGGCAGAGCCGTGTTTCACACACCCGAAGCAAGGCAGGAGCAGATTACCATACATCTTGTCTTGCTCCGATTATAAGAATGTATAATCGTAGCGATTCTAAAAAATTGTTCCTTGACACTCTCACCCACTTGAGCAAGTTTTGTTTCCTTGTTACCCATGGGTTTTTTTTTTTTTTTTTTTTTTTGCAAGAAGAGGAGGTTTTGTACCGCCAGGCGTTCTTCTTTCTTTTTCAAGACTCATCCATGCCTGGCGTTTGCTCGTCTTTTTCAACGTATCCTTCAGGTTTCAAAAATTCACAGGGGTCGGACACTGGCGTTTCTACCTGTTATATGCCGGACCGAGTTCCGGTTGAAGCCTTTTCCCCCCACTGTTGTCGTATTTGGAGACGGACGTCTTGGAGGACGGGAGCAAGTATCTTGTGGGGATGCTCGAGACGGACAGTGGTGGCCACGTGAGTCGGGAGATGTCCGCGAAGAGGGAATGGGCGGGTGGCGGGGAGGCCGAGGGCTGTGACGAGAGGATAGAGATGGAGGAGGGGGGACCAGGCGCCGGTGCGGTTTATATATAATTGATACCCATCCACATTCCGCCCGGTGGCCGAGTCGTTTGGAAAAGGGGGCTGGGCGAGGCGGTGTAGCCGAGATGGTGGTGAGGAGAAGGAGAGGGATGGGGATGTGTGAGGGGGGTTGTGAGTTGTTAAGAAAGAAAAGACTTCACTGTCCATTTTTGTCCTAGAGCCGCCGGTGATGCTGATTAGTGAGTGCGGATGGGATGGGAGACGATGGCTTTTCTAGTCACCGTTGTCCGATGCCGCCGCCAAAGCGAAACTGTATGTCCTCGATCCGGTCCTGAACTCGCCAGACATACTCCTATATGTAACTAGTATACGAGTGTCTGATCTCCAATCTTGGCATTGATGACGCTAACTCAAGACAGGCCGCATCGTTCAGCGAAATCACGAGGCTGCAAGGAGCCAGGCATCCCGCACTGAGAAACCGCACAACGGTTACTATACGCGAATCCGGTCACGTTCAGCCTAGTCGTTGTCCGGCAGTGACTAATACAGTGTAAAACCATCCAGCTGTGAGATTCTAGTGACATTTCTCAATAGGTACCTATATTTCGCATCTGTTGAAGCACTCATATATAATCTCTAGGCAGTATCACTTCTTCACCCGGCCCCCGAGTTCACCAGCCCGCCGAGCCGCGTCCCCGCCGTGCCCGCCAGTGCCCTCGGCTGCCCGACCTCGACAATCTCGCCCTTGTCCATGACGACGACGCGGTAAAAGCCTATGATCATGTCGAGCCGGTGGCTGACGGCGATCACCGTGTAGCACTCAAACTCGGCCTGGATCGTCTTCTGCATCGCCCGCTCCATGTCCACGTCCACGCTCGAGCTCACCTCGTCGAGCAGCAGGATCCCGCCGCCGCTTTAGCCGCGCTCTCGCACGAACCTCGACATGCCCATGGCCGCGATGACGGCCTCGCATTCCTCCGCCGCCGACTCGCCTGCTGGGTCCAAGTTGGCACGGAAGCTGGTTCCGTCCGGCAGGAAGACGGCTTCTTGGGGCACCGCGATGAAGCGCTGGCGGAGCGTTGTCCCGTCCACATTCTAAAGGGGTATCCCGTCGAGCACCACGCGCCCCGGCTTCGTCGGCAGGGGGTCGAGGAGTTTGAGGAGCAGGGCGGTGAGGCTGGACTCGCCACTGCTCGTGCGGCCGCAGATGGCAACCTTATTCCCTGGTTGGATGGCCAGGCGAATGTCGCGGAGGGCCAAGTTGGAAAGGTCGTTGTCATCTTGGTTTCCGTCTTGGCTGTCCGCACTATTGACGGCGTTAGCATATCTTGTTAGATCAGCGACGGAAATGCCTATCGCGGATCTTACCGGTAGCTCGCCGAGACACCCTCAAACTCGACTGCGCCATGCTGCGGCCAGGAGGCGGCATGGAAGATATCCTCGTCGACTCTCTCTTCGGGGTCGACCGTCTCGTTGAAGTTTTTGAGTCTGGCAATCGCCCCGATCGAAGTCTCGAGCCTGGTAAACCAGATGACGAATCCGGACAGGTTCTCCCCAAGACTCAGCAGGGTGACCAACGAGGCACCGGCAAAGCCGGCGCTGGAGTGGAGCCGGGCGGCGAGAGTGGTCAGGACCGCTGCCATCACCATGACCAACAGGTCGAAAACAACATTCAGCCATTCCTGGATCATGACCAGGAGGTAGGCTGGCCTCTGGCTCGGATCCAGCAGGTGCGCGTTCTTGGCGATATCCTTGGGGATGAAACCTGTTGCGCATATCGGGTTAGCCACCAACAATGTGACCATGGCTTAGTTATGCTTTTAGGTTTGTGTCTCCCGCTCAGACTTACCGAAAGCTCTCAGGGTGGTAACACCCTTGAGAGTGTCAAGGAAGTGGGTGCTGATCGGATGGTAGTTGCGAATCAATAATGGAAAGGTCGCATTGTATACTCACTAGAGAGGGCTCTTGGTTTCGAGGTCAAGCAATCTCAGTTGTCTTGAAGTCCGGAGATAGAATTTCTATATCACGTACAGCACGACCGCAATGAAGGGGTAGCTAATGGCCAGATATGGAGACGAAGTGAGCATGACAGCCGCTTGTCCGATAGCTTGGGAGAGCTGCAGGCCCTTGTCAGTATGCTATCATACCCAAAGCTATAACCGCAGCTCGCAGGGACATACGGACACAAAAGAGGTTGTTCAACAATGCGTCTGGCGGCTCGGTGTCGATGAGGCTTAGGTCTTGCAAGAAGAGGTCCGTAATGACCCCAGCATCCGTCCTGGTGATGTAATGGAGGGGCGCGTGGACCAGTGTCAGCAGAGTTTCTTGGTGCAGATTGGCGCCAGCTCGTTTCATGGAGACGATGAAGATCAAAATTTCAAGGAGAAGCAACGAGATCATGGCCGAGACCTGCAGCATGATGTAGATTCCGATGTAGTGCGTCTGGGAGTGTTTGGGGGACTCTGAATCGACGTCGTCGGTCCAGAAAGAGAGCCCTGCAAGGAGTGATACTGATTAGCCGCTGCTTCTACGCAAGGCAATGTAGTTGGTCTTGGTGATTGGGAGCCTTGGAAGAACTTACAGACTGTTGGGAAGCTGGTGAAGAAACCCCAGAGAGCAGCAAGGAAGAGACAGAAGGTTGCCAGTATCCAGCTCATGCTCTTGAAGTAGTGCTTGAACACCGTCCTCTCACCAACCTGACGAGACTGTTCTGTAAGCTCGGCAACAGCAGCCAGCCTCGCGGTCGTCACACTGGACTGTTGTGGCTGCGGTTCGGTCGTGCTGGCTGTAGGTTTCACCTCGTCCTATTCAGAATCGCGATCTAGAGAGGCTTTGAGGCTTAGGTGCTCCACATAACCTTGGCCAGCCATCAGGCTCTCGTAGTCTCCCTGCTTGACCACGCTGGGATGTTCGAGTACTATGACGTGGTATGCTGACGGGAGGTACTTCATGCTGTGCGTGCATAACATGATGGTGGAGCACCTCTGCTTCAGAAGGCCCTTGGGCCCAAAGGTAAGGCGGAACACCTCCTGCTCGGTATCCGCGTCCAGGCCACTGAAGATATCGTCCAGTACAAGAATATCAGACTGCAGATAGAGAGCCCGCGCCAGGGAAATGCGTTGTCCCTGGCCGCCCGACAGCTTGATCCCGTCAGACCCGACAACCGTCCTGTCGCCCTGCGCGAGGACATCGAGGCCATAGCACAGAGCTGTGGTCTTGATAATTTGGGCATATCTCTCTTCGTCGAGGGGCGAGAAGCCGATGATGTTGTCCCTGATCGTCCCGTTGTAGATGAAGGCTGTTTGATCGCAGAATTTGACATGGGGAAGACGTGTACCTGGCAGGACACTACTTCCGCTGACGGGAATTCCGCCAAGTAGCACCTTGACGAGTGTAGGATTGCCCGAGCCAACGGGCCCAATCACCATAGTGAGTGAAGACTTGGCGATTCGAACATTGATATCATGCAATGCCATTGTATCTGCCTCCCAGCCAAAATTTCCATTCTGGACAAGAATAGCAGCATCTTCCGGCTCGAGCTTTGCCTCAGGGGAGAAATCTTCATTCCCTACCGCATCATTGAGCTAGGCGCTTTTCTCGCTCATTTCGGCGTCCGTAGCCGTGGCCCGACCTGAAGACTCGGGCTTCAAATTGGAACCGCGATCACCAAGAACTCGCCAAAAATCATGTCGGGTTTCGCACTCCAGGAAAGCTTGGATCCTGCCAATGCAGGCCAGACCAGAAATAATCTCAGGGAGAGCCTGGAAGATCTGTGACAGTGGATTGGTAAGCAGCACAAGGAGCGAAAGACTCGAGAACACCATCTTGGTATCGAGAGTGTTCTGATTGAACCCAATTGTCAATGGCGGGCTGAGCAGCATGGGCGTAAAGCCACAGAGCGCGGCAAGGATGAAGATCTTGCGGAACCGTGCTCCGGCCGCGAGCTCCGAGATGCGGAGCTTCTGCACAAAGTCCCCGGCTGTGGACGAGAGACCAGAGATCTTCAGGTCCTGCTGGAAATGGCGGCGGCCGTCAGACCGACACGCTTCTCGACTCCTGCCATCCAGGACCATTGCGAGTCGCCCTTGAAGTTCAGGACGACGCCGATGCAGAGGAAGCAGAAGGTGGCCATTCCGATGGGGACCGCGAACACGGCCCCAGGCGGATATACAGCATTCAGACAGACAGAGCCGCCTGAATAACGCCGGCCCAGATGTCGTGGATCATTCTGAATCCAATCTTGATGTGCTTGATACCGGTGCTCATTAGAGTCGCTGTGCGAGTCAGCCCCCAACTGAGTCTCGGTGGCTTTGATGAACCTTTCGGAGACGAGAATCGACCTCGCCATGGCACGCATCCTATGATGGGGATAGCTGTACGTTTCACGCATCTGTCAGTGGATAAGTACCGCCATCCATCACATTTGGGGTATACTGTGCATGCAGAGGGCCGTAGAGATGGCGATTCCAGAGTATATCAGTATGCTAGCCCCGATGAAACCATAGCCCACGTTGGCGGGAACCTGCGGCTGACCGAGATGCTCTAGTAACTTCTCGATGAAGAATGGCTGACTGAACGTAAACGCAAGCTGCGCCATGCGCGGAAGGACAGGCGTCAAGAGCTGGACCTTGAGGTTCTTGAGCAATGCCCTGGGAAGGCCGTACTTGTCGCCCTTGAGCTTGGAGTAGTCGATGTTCTGGGAGAACTTCTCATGCAGGAGCTTAGTATTCAAAGACATATCGAGCGGATAGAGGTTTTCCGTTGTGAGGATTTTCCTATACCCCTCAAAAACATCTCGTTCATCCAGAACAGTACACCCAGCGAAAAGATACTGCTTGTTTCCTTGGGCTGTGCTCTTCTCGTCCCAGATAATCCATCTGGACTGGGGGTCTGCCTCTAATAGCAATACCACTACCTTCAAAGCCATGGAAGCGGTGAGGATGATGTTGTAAGTACGCTCTGGAGGGTTGCCCGACAGCAAGAGAGTGCGCGCCTGGGCTATATCCAGCAGCAGAGTCAGGAACAGGTAGGAGTTCAGCGGTATCGATGGCCTCGGGCTTCTGCTGTGGTCGACACCGCTTACGGTTATCGTGAGAAGAAGAAGTTCCCAATGAGAATAAGGCCTCTGCTTTCAACGAGCCGATGGGTAGCGACTTGGAAACCACGCATCCGGACAAGACCCAGCCTGAACATGCGAACCTCGGAGAAGTCACCCATATGGAACTCAGACACTGACCGCTTGTCGGCTATTCGGAACAATCGCAACGAGTGGTTGACGATGACAGAGTCTTCCGCGCGCAAAGTCTTATCCGCATATGTTGTCTTTCTACTCGGCAAGGTCGATGACCCAAACGATACTGACGACGAAGGCTACTCAATCAAACATAACTGCGAAAACGTTGTTCGAACAGAGTCGCGAAACCTCTCTAAGGCAATTATCTCACGTGTTATCCAAGGTCTTAACAATACCAGCAAGTCTGCTTCACAAAAAGCTGAATCTTGCAGCTACCCAGCAGCGTCATATTGAGAACGTGCATGATTCCCTGGAAGTGAATGAACCAACTAAAAGATTCCACTATACTCTGCAGCAGATTGACTCCACCGCGAGGAGGCTTGACAAGGGACTCTTTTGAGCACCACCAATCTCATTATTCAGGAGATGAATCGAAGGACAGCTTATCAGAAGCTACTGCACTGATATTTTCTTAAACGAGAGCCTCACGCTGGAAGGATGCTTTAGCTATACTGAAGGGACGGGTTTCAGAGTCTAAACGTATGTAAAGATTTTGGAACCAGCAGCGGTAAAACCAGCAGGCTCAGGAGTTGATGGCTGAGCAACAAGCAGAGTCCAAACGGCGCACAATGCCGCCACCACTATTTAATTCCGGTGCGGCTGGATCACTCGGTGCCCTAAGGTCGGGTGAGCGGGTGAGCAGGTGAGCAGGTGAGCAGTATATCTCTATAGGACGCGCGTTAATGCGTGAAGGATATCTGTTACAAGGAGATTAGAATCTTCGGGCTAATATGATCAGACTGTTCTATCAGTAAATCAAAGTCATCTGTCAAGACAAAGCCAGATTGCATCCATCTGAGGTTCAAATTGCCTCCAGGGAAATTCCTTGTGCGCGGACAGACGAGAGTAAAACTTTTGGTTGCAGCATCTGGGTTACTGTTCTAATTGTCTCGCATATGTATTGTGTTACTTATCCGTATAAGCACTTCTTTCCCTTAGCCAACTCCCATACCGCAACAACATTGGGGGCACGACGCAGAGCACTGTTGCCAAGGCAGCAAATATGGACGTCGCGGTGTTGAAGTTTAGTGTGTCAAATAGGGCCCTGCCAAAAAGCGGAAAGGTTGCGCAGAAGAACGACCGGGTCAGAGCCAATGCGGCGAAGCTGCTGGCCGTGTACGTCTCGTAGCAATCGGATAGGTACCCGGCCAACACGTAATCGAGCTCGTTGACCGCGTATCCTATCGGTATCAGGGCCATCGCCGGAAGGGCCCAGTGAACCGACGTGGCTGGCGGGATCGTCCACGCAAACCACCAGAGGCCTAGAGCCAAAAGGGGGGCACCAATGACATACCCGGCAAACTTGGATTCCGGGGTGATGGGTAAAGATGCTTTGGAGCGTGTTTCAAGTCTGTGGCGATCGTAGAACCGCGTGAGTATGCTGAGGACCATGCCGATTGCAAGGAATAGAAAGGGCAGGTTCTTCCAGCCGTTGTCGAAGCCCAAGGCAATGTATACCAGCGGCAACACTTCCGTGAAAAGGTAGATGAGCCCGAAGGCGATCGCGCTGATGATGGCAACCAGAAATACTATTGGCTCGGTAAACAGGAAGCGGAGGGGCCTAAGGAGGTCGAGTTGCTCCCGGATGGGTGTACGCCGCTTGCTCTTTGAGGGGTTTTCCCCTTTTGAGCGTTGAATGTCGGACAGAGCCTTGGCATTGGCCAGCACGACCGAGGGACGTGACTCTCTGGTCGTAAGGAATAGAATCGTCACACACCCGGTGACAATCGCTGCCGTATAGAAGACCCACGGCCTGTGAAAGTCAAGGTTAGCCGGGCCACCGGGGTCGGATGGTCTACAAGTGCCTCACCAGGGAGCTGATGCCATTATCAGATCGCTAAAGACGGGCCCCGTCAGGAGACCAAGGTTGGCCAACAATGCCCACCAAAACACCCACCACACCCGCTCATGCGTATCCCACAGATCTTCGATGCTGCCCGTAGCCACGACAGTCGGCATAGAGGAGAGCAAGCCACCAACGAAGCGCCCAACAACAATCCCGGGGATTGTAGGCACCGTTCTTACTAGGATGCAGGATAAGCTGTACATGCCGGTACTGATCACGTAAAGCTTCTTGCGGCCGAAAGACTCTGACCAAGGGGGAAAGAAGACTCCTCCAATCGTTTGGCCGACGAGATACCTAAGTATCATGTCAGAAAACTGTCAAGCTGCACAGGTTGCTAGTCCATCGTACGTTGATACGAAGATACAAGTCGCCGGAACTGGACTAAGACCAAGGTCGCTGTGTATATGCCCAGCAACAGGTGTCTTGTTAGAGAGTTAGCACATTGGTGTCTGCAAAGTTGTGATTGGAAAACAAACTCCTGCTGTGCTAATCATTGTCCTAGGATGGTCAGCCCGTACAACCTGAGAGAGAAGAATGGCTCTACATACGTGAAGAATTCCAAGAACATGATGATGCACGTGTCGTATGTCTTTCGTGCATACCGCCACTGTCGTGGATGGACGTGCTTGCCTGGCGTCCAGGAAAGCTCATTGTTTGAATTAGGACTGGTGCACAGTCCTAGATCACCGGTTTGAGTTGGCGAAGGAGAGAAGGACATCTTGAGGATTAAGGTAGTGGGGAGCGGAAGACCTGCTTGAATATCAAGTGGTCTGGTGGGTTAAGTAGGAACCTGTCGGGCTTGAAAAACCCACACTGTTGCTGCCCTTTCCCTAACTTTTGATGAACGCAATTTTTATGGACACCCATTTCGAAAGCAAAACGCCGGTATTCTCGCAACCACTGTAGTTTCTTGGCAGTCCTGGGGGTTTTCTTTTCTTCTCAGTTCCGTTGACGCATGTCTACGTTGTTGATCAAGGTAACTGGCTGAAGCGCAGCGAGTTGTGACGCATAATCTATGAGGCTTTGAGAGAAATAATGCTTACCTGGAAGCGTTGGTCTGGGGTGGCATGGCCATGGGCCCGACCCATGAAATTGTGTCGCAAAAGCAGAGTAGAAAGTCAGTCCTGCTTTTTCTTTCCCGCTGCGGGTGCGCAGATCTTTACGTCGAAATGAAAAGGAAACTAGCGAACAATCCTGCGATAGTACACAAGGCAAACTTAACATACCGGTGCACGCATCAAGCCGCAAGTACACCCCCGTGCCTTAGCCAAGCCCGCGTCTGCCCAAGCTGGGGGTCCGGCGTCTCCGCAGCTGACGGGGTTGGTGTTGACTAAAGTTCAGCTTTTCAAAGTCGTGAGGCGCCATGGCGCAACGCTATGCTAAGTTTTGCTGTTGATGCCCCAAATAGCAGAGTGATCCCAGACAATATAGGTACCCGGGGGTGTTAGTCAGCGCAGCGGAGAGCTAAACACCCCCTCCTCACGGAGGGGGCGAAAAAAGGGGGGTCACAGCAAGAAAAGGGGGGTCGCAGCCTGTCCCCACTTTGTCCTGACTTTTGTTATAACTCAACCACCCTGCTTCCCACGCAACCCCGCATACCACGCAGCCCAACAACGCGTCACCATAAAACCTACTCCTCTTTTCTAACTATCACAACATCTTCTATTCTACCCCAAACAACGCCATTTTTTGAGGATATCTTTTTTACTATAAGATGAAGCAGTATAGTGAACATGAGCTGCAGCGGGCACTTTGGGATATTGCTGACGGGCTTAGTATCCGCGGGGCAGGTCGCAAATGGGGCATCCCAGAGGCGACTGTACGACAACGTCTCCATGGTACCCAGTCTAGAAATACTGCCTTTGGTAGACTGCAGCGGTTATCTCAGAACCAGGAAGGTCTACTTGCTGAGTGGATATCTAAGCAGGCTGCCCTAGGCTCTGCGTTTTGCCATCAGCAAGTCAAAGGGCTGGCTGAGCGCATGCTGGGCGATGGGCAGCGACCACTTGGGAGGAAGTGGATGCAGCGATTTCTTCGCAGAAACCCATCTATCAGAACCCAGCGATGCAGGGCAATTGACGCTAGGCGAATTAATGGGGCAACTGCTGACATTATCCAGGAATGGTTTCATCGCCTTGATCTGCCAGCAATCCTGCCCATCAAGCCAGCTAATAGATGGAACATGGATGAGACTGGTATCCTCGAGGGCAAAGGAAGCAATGGGCTAGTACTAGGATCGTCAGAGACCAAGTATATCCAGAAAAAACAGCCTGGATCGCGGGCATGGGTATCTCTGATCGAGTGCGTCTCTGCCAGAGGACGCGCACTTCCGCCTCTTGTTATGTATAAGGGCAAGTCAGTCCAGCAACAGTGGTTTCCTCTAGATCTTCAACCCTATGCTAGCTGGAAATTCACAGCAACAGAGAACGGCTGGACAACTGATCAGAATGCCCTAGAATGGCTAGAAAAGGTCTTTATCCCTCAGACTGTCCCAGAGGACCCTTCAGATACTAGACTACTAGTTCTAGACGCCCATCATAGCCATACAACAACAGACTTTCTGTGGCGATGCTTCCGGAACCACATACACCTCCTGTTTCTGCCGCCGCACACATCACACGTCCTCCAGCCTCTAGATCAGTCAGTATTCCGACCTCTTAAGGCAGCCTATAGGAAGTATCTAGGGTACCTAGATATACAAAGCGATTCAACTGTAACAGGCAAGAGGAACTTTATAGACTGTTATAGAAGGGCACGTCTAGACGCCTTGACTATCCAGGTTATTAAAAGCGGCTGGAAACACACTGGGTTATGGCCAGTTGATGTAGCGCAACCTCTATCTAGCCCTTTCGTGTCTAAGGCATCAGCCAGCCAGCCAGCCAGACAGCTAGACGGCCAGACAGCTGGGCAGTCAGGAAGTCAGCAGTGGGATGGAGCTGTATCTATAGTCCCATGGTCAACCCCGCGTAAGTCTGCTGATCTTCAGCGTCAGCTGCACCTATTCAACCAGCTTACGCAAGATACCCGAGAAATCTACACCCAACGCCACCTATTTAGAAAGGTCCAAAAAGGCTGGGACCAACAGGCCTATAGACTGACAGTCCTAGAGCGTCAGGCCCAGGCATTCCAGGCCCAGACGGATAGTCAGCAACAAGGCAGGAGAAAAAGGGTCCAGACGGACCCTAACACGACGTTCGCTAATATCGAGGATATCCGACGGGCGCAAATTGCTGCTGGCGAAGCAGAGAGTAGCACAAGTGAATCCAGTGGATCTGAATTATCTAGTGAAGCAGAAAGTTGCATCTGGGTAGGTGGTAGGGATGAGGAATAATGGATGTTGTTGATGGGTATGGTGATATTGATGGGGGTTTGGGGCTGCGTGGTATGCGGGGTTGCGTGGGAAGCAGGGTGGTTGAGTTATTCTCACCAAAACAATCAATTATTCAGACATTTCATCAACAAATATCAACACTATCTAAACCAACCATCCCTATCCAACACAGTCAATATGCCCCAACCATATGACAAAAATATGACTGCTGCTAAAAAGGCGGCCAAAGTGGTATTTGCTGCCCAGCAACAGGCTCAATTTGATCAGGCTGGCAAGCAGATATCTACTATATCTATCCGCGAGGTTACCCAGCAGTATAGCGTATCTGATATGTCTATTCGCCGGCATCTTCAGACCCTTCAAGCTGGCCATGACCTTCAGGCAAGCCCGCCGGCTGCCCTTGGCCGGCCGCGCGCACTAACCGCTGCTGAAGATGCTGCTCTTGCGGCCTTTGTTATATGGCTTGCAGAAGCTAGCTTTCCAGCCTTGCCGATACAGGTAAAGGAGACGGCCAACTATCTGCGTAACCTCCGCGCTATGCCTCCTATATCAGAGCACTTTGTCCATACCTGGCTTGCCGACCACCCAGAGCTTCAGAAGAAGGCTGCTATTAAGCCGGTTGAGATATACCATAAAGGAGCAAAGCTGGACCCTGCCCCGATAAAGGACTTCTTTACGCGGTATCAGGCAACAGTCCGCGAGCATGATCTTGGCCCTTCAGAAATATGGAACGCCAATGAGTCAGGGTGCCAAATCAGCTGCCTCAGCAGCAGGATACACGTGATACTACTTCAGCGGCCACCAAAATACAACCACCTGCCAGAGGTTATCGATCCTGCGAATCGAGAGTCATGTACGTTAATTAGATGTAGCAATGCTACGGGCAACAGCATACCAGGATATCTGATCTTCAAAACGTGGCCAGTCACTACTTAGGCAGATTATCAGATCCAAGAAGATGTCCGCTTTGCGCATTCGGCAACTGGCTTTTCGAACCAAGAGGTTATAATGGACTATATACGGCACTTCAATACTGAATCATACGCAAGGTCAGCTAAATATCGCCATATAGGCCACTCACTTAGGGACTATTTTGGCGTTGACGCATACGGTTGTAACGACTATAACCTATATCTGCCTAATGGTGAGCCAAGCGGAGTACACCAATAATATTATAACTATCAGGATACAATCGAGAAGTCAAAGCGGCCATATCATCTGCTTCTGTTAGATAGGTTTACTGGCCACATTAGTATAGAGCTTATGGAGTATTGCATCAACTTTGACATTATCCTGGGTTTTTTTTTTGCCTCATATAACGCACTTTTTTCAGCCAATGGATATTGGGGTCTTCCAGCCATTCAAGAGTGCCCAGCAAAAGGTGCTTCGCAACCATATACGAGATAGCAACCTCACATTTATAAGGGGCAACTTTGTTGCTGCCTTTGCCGATATGACTAATACTGCCTTCACAGCTACGAATATTATGAGAAGGTTCGAAAAATCAGGTATCTGGCCTATTAGAGACGATGTTATATTGGCCTAGTTAGTGAGGAGGATGTAGCAGAGCAAGGCTGATATACTATCTCACCTTATATGTTTTTTGCCACATAACAATCGCTTCAACAAGGCTATACTTACTGCCAACTATATAGAGGAGAAGTATAGCAGCCCATAGAGCACCCCTTCAAAAAAGGGATTCAAGGTAATCAAGGAAGTAATTAATAAGGGAGCTCTCAGCCATAAGTACCAACAAGGTCATATTAAAGACCACAACAAGAGGCTAGCAACATGGCAACAAAGAAGCCAGGCCCAGCAAGCCGTCAAGCCAAGCCACTCATTTATATCAAGTGTCACTTTTGATGATATAAAAGAGGCACATGAGAAGCAAGTGACTGAGGCTATATAAGCAGAGTAACAGCGGCAGCAAGCAGCAGTCAAGAGGATGGCTCGCAGCCAAAAAAAGGAGGTCCACCAACAATATAGTGCTTCAAAGTATCAGATAGTGGATAGGCAGATGAGGCAACTAACCTTTAAACAGTGGCTGCACCATACTAGAGAAGTTAATGCCTACATTCCGTTCAATACCTCAGATCCTCGTTGGCATAACAAGCCAAAGGAAAAATTCACTATCGACATTAACCCTACCCCTTTACCACAGCATATACTCAATCGATTCAAGTATACAGCAAGGCCCCTTAGTCAAGGCAATGTTAACCAAGCATTGGCTAATGCTACTACAGAGGCAGCTAGGCTAGACTTCAATCCCGAGATATTTGTAAACATAGATGATCCTATTGACAAAGACGTCGATAAGGCTATATCCAGCAAAGAATCAGTCAGTACAGCTGGGGATGAAGATGATAACCTTGAAATAGCATTAGTGCCATCACTACTAGCAACACTAACGCTAGCAACAACATCACAGGCACCATCACAATATAAGTCATAATACCACGCAATCAAGGATAGTATAGATACCTAGCAAAGCAGGGGCACAATGGAGGATAACCCACTTACCCCCCCATTAACGCAGGCTAAAAAGAAACAGCAACATATAGTGGATAATAGTGCCAGTAATAGCACTATTATAGTGGCGATTTGAATTTTTAATTATTATATAAAAAGGGAAAAAAAGGTACTATTTTAAAGCCCTAGATTAGGGCTATTGATTCATACTACTCTTATTATTATACGACGTTGTGGTTATTATGACCTTTTGAATTAAAAAGTAGAGGTTTCTGTGTATAACAGGCAAAAGTGATGCTATTCGTGATATAGGCTACAACCCCCCTTTTGCTGCTGCGACCCCCCTTTTTTCGCCCCTTACGTGAGTAAGGGGTTTTTAGCGCAGCAGCCTGATGACTAAAACCCCTGGGTAGTAGGTCCTAGCTCATACAACGGCTCGTCCACATCGGCTGAACTTGCGATTTTTCACATTTCCCACCTGCACCTACATTCTATTCCACTCTAGCCAACGTGCCACCGGCCCAACAAAGGGAGAGAGTTGGTATTTTGGAATACCTCACTAACCTGAAAATGCACCTCTAGCACCTGGAAAGTTTTTTATTTCTTTTTATCTTAAATCCCCCCCCCTCGCGGCGATGGGCAATATGTTGTGTAATATCATGCTACGAAGAGCTGGTGCGAGGGCAAATGAGCGTCTAGTCTCAAAGTGCGTTGCTTTCTAGATCCCATTTCTGCATGGGGGAAAAGTAGGTTGAAACTTAATACCCCTAATTCTCCCGCTAGTCATGCGCCTATGAGAAATCCTTTTCTACGTGGCGCAACCTTTCTCCGATGCATATCGTTAAACCGACTGAGAGCCTAAAGGGTTACTAAAAAATCCAGATTGATACTCCTGGCGACTTGTTCTGCTTTAGTGTTGATCTGCAGGCGGTGTGCTATACTAAGCAGCCGCAACCAGGAAAACAGCTGACTCAAGCTGTTGCAATTGAAGACCGTGATATGATTTTATGAACCTTTGATCGAGCCGGGGCCTTTGGGCTCCTTTATACTGTTTGATATGCTGCTCTGGGCCCAAGAGATAAGAGACTTGCCAGCGCCCTGCTTAACCTCTTCCTCAAATATATTCCCCGCGATCTTATTCACCGGTGGGCCAGGTGAGCGAGTGCAGCGACACAGGATAGCCCTTACCGTAGATCTCTCCAAGAACATACACACCGCGGCAGACTTCTACCTCCAATATAAACCCCTCTTCTCGGTCATCTTGATGTGTATGGGAATAAATAGACCTTCTAGATCATAGAAAACCCGGTTAACTTAGAAGCAAAAGGGGAATCAATCCAGTTATTTGTCCGGGTTGTCCCCGGAATCGTCTCTAATACTGTTCTGGTGGCTCTGCATTTTTGATACCTATGAGTTTTCACCCGGCCAGTCAAAACTCCAGACTCGGCTGGAGTCGAGGCTCAGACCCCGGCCGAAGCCCGGAGGCCGGGTGTGGGTCGCAAGATCAACCAGTAGTTGGCCCATACCTAGGAAGCGTGAGACTCCTTCTACACGGCCGAATTTGACCTTGCTGTTAGGAGGCCATGGTCTGACATATAAGCCGGTCCAAAGAGACGACGACGTCCTTGACGAAGCCGATCCCGACCTGTTCAGGATTTGGATCCCTGTCAAACCGGGCTACTGTCTCTGGTGGCTCTGAAATGAACACGGGAAGGGCTCGTGCGGACTAATCCTTTAGGCCTGGCTAGCCCGAGAAGCTGATGACGGAAAGTGAGCTCCTATTGATGCTGACGCAATGTATAGATACTACACTTATCGCTCTGCTTTCAGCCGCAATCTACCACGTCTATCTGGACAACCTCTCCCCCGGTCTGGCTCTCCGATCGAGGAGGTATCGAAGTAGCCACAGCAAAGTAAGCAGCTAGTTAAGTGCTAAGTGCCACTAGCAATACATCATCCTCCGCTATATCATCAAGAGAGCCCATGCCAGTTTGTTCCCCAACCCACTAATATTTAGTGTTTGTTCCGGATCTCGAGCGCCTTATAGCTTCATCTTTTCTACCGCTGCGCTGTCGCTACGACGCTGGTACGTTGATGGTCTGTGCGAGATATATCTCGCTTCATGACGGGACATTTGACAGGTGTCTTGCGAGAGTAGTATTGGGGGCTAGATTACCTTTACTATATGTACATTCAAATAAATAACTCAACCACCCTGCTTCCCACGCAACCCCGCATACCACGCAGCCCAACAACGCGTCACCATAAAACCTACTCCTCTTTTCTAACTATCACAACATCTTCTATTCTACCCCAAACAACGCTATTTTTTGAGGATATCTTTTTTACTATAAGATGAAGCAGTATAGTGAACATGAGCTGCAGCGGGCACTTTGGGATATTGCTGACGGGCTTAGTATCCGCGGGGCAGGTCGTAAATGGGGCATCCCAGAGGCGACTGTACGACAACGTCTCCATGGTACCCAGTCTAGAAATACTGCCTTTGGTAGACTGCAGCGGTTATCTCAGAACCAGGAAGGTCTACTTGCTGAGTGGATATCTAAGCAGGCTGCCCTAGGCTCTGCGTTTTGCCATCAGCAAGTCAAAGGGCTGGCTGAGCGCATGCTGGGCGATGGGCAGCGACCACTTGGGAGGAAGTGGATGCAGCGATTTCTTCGCAGAAACCCATCTATCAGAACCCAGCGATGCAGGGCAATTGACGCTAGGCGAATTAATGGGGCAACTGCTGACATTATCCAGGAATGGTTTCATCGCCTTGATCTGCCAGCAATCCTGCCCATTAAGCCAGCTAATAGATGGAACATGGATGAGACTGGTATCCTTGAGGGCAAAGGAAGCAATGGGCTAGTACTAGGATCCTCAGAGACCAAGTATATCCAGAAAAAACAGCCTGGATTGCGGGCATGGGTATCTCTGATCGAGTGCGTCTCTGCCAGAGGATGCGCACTTCCGCCTCTTGTTATGTATAAGGGCAAGTCAGTCTAGCAACAGTGGTTTCCTCTAGATCTTCAACCCTATGCTAGCTAGAAATTCATAGTAACAGAGAACGGCTGGACAACTGATCAGAATGCCCTAGAATGGCTAGAAAAGGTCTTTATCCCTCAGACTGTCCCAGAGGACCCTTTAGATACTAGACTACTAGTTCTAGACGCCCATCACAGCCATACAACAACAGACTTTCTATGGCAATGCTTCCAGAACCACATACACCTCTTGTTTCTGCCGCCGTATACATCACACGTCCTCCAGCCTCTAGATCAGTCAGTATTCCGACCTCTTAAGGCAGCCTATAGGAAGTATCTAGGGTACCTAGATATACAAAGCAATTCAACTGTAACAGGCAAGAGGAACTTTATAGACTGTTATAGAAGGGCATGTCTAGACGCCTTGACTATCCAGGTTATTAAAAGCGGCTGGAAACACACTGGGTTATGGCTAGTTGATGTAGCGTAACCTCTATCTAGCCCTTTCGTGTCTAAGGCATCAGCCAGCCAGCCAGCCAGACAGCTAGACAGCCAGACAGCTGGGCAGTCAGGAAGTCAGCAGTGGGATAAAGCTATATCTATAATCCCATGGTCAACCCCGCGTAAGTCTGCTGATCTTCAGCGTCAGCTGCACCTATTCAACCAGCTTACGCAAAATACCCAAGAAATCTACACCCAACGCCACCTATTTAGAAAGGTCCAAAAAGGCTGGGACCAACAGGCCTATAGACTGACAGTCCTAGAGCGTCAGGCCCAGGCATTCCAGGCCCAGACGGATAGTCAGCAACAAGGCAGGAGAAAAAGGGTCCAGACGGACCCTAACACGACGTTCGCTAATATCAAGGATATCCGACGGGCGCAAATTGCTGCTGGCGAAGCAGAGAGTAGCACAAGTGAATCCAGTGGATCTGAATTATCTAGTGAAGCAGAAAGTTGCATCTGGGTAGGTGGTAGGGATGAGGAATAATGGATATTGTTGATGGGTATGGTGATATTGATGGGGGTTTGGGGCTGCGTGGTATGCGGGGTTGCGTGGGAAGCAGGGTGGTTGAGTTAGGATATAACACCAAAACATAGGCATACCCTGTGTAAGGTTAAGCTGATGTCCATAATATGAGCCCTTTGATCTGCGGACTTCAGTCCCCCTGTCAATCATTATGCAGCTGCATACTCGCTCCCTACATAAACACGGCCCAAGAGATTTCAGTCAATACTTGGGTATCAGGGTTTTCGTCTAGATCTACTACGCTCCTCTCATTCAAAATATGGATGCAAGGCCGAGATAAACACGGCTCAGCATTGGCTCATTAGAATCGCAGAGATAGGTCCGCCATGAACCAGGTAATCCCTTGGAGTAGCTACCTGAGAGAAGCCAGGATTCACAGACACAAGCTCTGTTGCCACTTTGGCGCTTCATAACAACTTGCTGAGGGTTTCGAGGAACTATCCCAATACTTGTAGATTCCAGCGTATTTGAGCCTATGGCTTGTCGTTCAGTGTAGTTTCCCAATATTAGGACTTAGAACTGGAAGCTCGATTGGCGTTACACGCCATATCAAGTAATCCTTTAACTCTGATTACCATTTCCTTTGCGTGTTCACAGCTTAAAGACTACAGGAATAGACCTTCGGAGTAAGTTTAGAGACGAGCAGAGACCACCAGTCAGCGTGAGGTTAAGGTTCAATGCTTGGCTTGTAGCCTTACCCTGCTTCAAACCCATACTTACGTCAACAGAGTCTCTTCTTCATTAGTCTGAAAGTTGGATGGGCAAACCCGTATATGCCAGGAGGTCAAATGTGTTGCAATCTCGTCTCGAGGCTCTCACAGTCTCACAGTCTCACAGGCGGCACCGAATTTCTTGGAGGCATCTCGTTTACCTGTAAGGGGTGGCATAGTTAAGGGGATGCAAGCCGCAAAATCCGCTGTTGACGTGTGTATCCGCTTTCACAACCATGGATGAGTGGGTTCGTTGGAACGGTTCGAGGAGGCCATGTGCACTCGCTCGAGTTATTAGATCAACGTGTCTCTCATGCACCTTGCGAACTCTATGCGCTGCTTCGGTCGTAGTCTCGACCCTCTGCTAAACCAATTACGACTCTACAACTGTGCAATTACCTGCTCATCTTCCTGACGTGGCTGCTCCATTAGGTTTTAAGGAGCCTCCTCTGGGCTGTTTGACTGTTTGCAGTACCCAAGTGAGACCTTAGCATGCCATGATTGTCAGGGTCCAAGTTTTAGTGACCCAGACCGCGGGGCTGAAGCGGGGAACATTCCAGCGCTTCCATCCTCGAGGTCGACCGCCACATGTTGTCAGTAAGGACCTTGCGTAGTTCGGCCAATCAGAATATGAATGTTTCAGATTGTTACTAGGTCTTGGGTCACTGTGACTTCCAGCTCAATAAGTGAAGAATGGGTTGCTCCGGGACCGCACTCCGTTCCATCGCTATGTGGTAGTTCACGAGATGGGGGGTTTGATGGAGATAGACGGCACCTCCCATCCGAACTTTGAATTTCCAAGAATTAAAAGTGTCCCCAGACAAGAGTCGCTCTATGGCGGCCGGTAGGCTGTCAACAACTGAGGAATCAGTAACAGAGTTGTGGCAAGGAGCAGAGAATGTAAAGATATGTAGGGCACTAGTTGGATCCTAGAGATACGCTAGCTATGAGCTGAATACAAAGACGCAAGTCAGGTATCGGCTAGGCATGGTTGCGGAGGCGGAGAGTGACGGAAGCGGACCGAAGCGTGCCCGTTGTGGTACCAACTGCATCCAGTCACTCGACTCTAGACTGCCACGTGAGAAATGCATACACATTCTCTCGTTCTTCCCGTGTATCTACTTCTAGATCGTCTCGGGCTAGAAACGCTCGAGATATTCGTTGTGGTGTACAATACAAGTCAATCCCTTCGGTAACCGACGGTATTGTAGCATTGCCAACTAATTAGCTACATGGGTCGATGTGTGCCCAGATAGGGACAGGAACAATCTAGATGATCATTGAGCAATGCAATTAAGTATCTATTGCTGAATCACAATTTCCGTGAACCTTTCATCTCAACCGGCTCTGTCTAGCTGATTTAGCCCTATCGATATCACACCATGGCGCTCAATATGTCTTATAACATTTCAGCTTCTCAATGGGAACCGCCACTGCATGACCGGTTTCTGCGGTTGCGGGAACTTGTCTTATACCAGCTTCAGATGATAAGCTGCTGTCAGATGACCGAAGTTAGCGATAGCACCAGAAAGGATACTACTTAAAGGGCCGCGTTTGACTTCTTCCCTCTGTTTGTTCTAATCATCATCCAATTCACCTTCAAATACTCACTTTCAAACAATACTTCAAGAACACAGTCATCAAAATCAAAATGGGCAGACCAGTCGACCAGTCCGCTTCCACCGACATCCCGCCATCCCTTGGGTTTTCCCAGACGGTTCTTCAGCCAGAGGTGCAATCAACCGTTGATGGAATCAACAGCACAAATGTGCAGGCAACGATCGAAGCTGCGCAAAAGGCGCCAATCGGCATTCTGAAGAAGTTCGAGAACCACTCGTTCTCCGGGTACGGCTTCAACACCATCTTCCGACCGCACAGCACCAACAAAAAGACACCGACTGGTCTTCATGTTACTCCTCCTTCTGACCAAAACCCCGACAACATTTTGCAACTCAACCTTACTCGGGAAACCATGAAATTCGACCTTAGGCTTGGAGCTGTTCCCAACCGCGGTTTGATCGACCAAGCCGACATCAACCTTAACGGAGTGCCTTACACACAGAAGATCTTTGATCTGATGGAGCCTGAGGTCGAAAAACCTCTCATTCATTTCGAGAACGGACTTTGGATGCACGTTCCAGCTACAACTATGCCTGCTCTACAGGCTTCTCTTGCCCGCATGGCTTCTATTCCTCACGGCACAACCATCAACGCCCAGTCTTTCTCTGCGCCTGTTACCTCCGAGGGTGCGCCTAGCATTGAGTCTGTCTCAATCACGCCCTTCAAGATTGTTGATCCAACACAATTGATCCCATTTCCTAGTCAACAGGCAGATAACAAGAACACCTTTCGTCTTCCCCAAGATCTGACCCCTTTCATCAAAGCTGAAACCGTCACCCAGGAAATGATTACCAACCCCAATATCGTCTTGACGAACGCCAACAAGGGCAAGGAAATCATTGAGCACACCACTTACACTATCTCTACATCTCCACCGGAATCTAAGCTCGGTGGGGGCACCAGCAACATCGGCTTCCTCATCGGTGATGGTTCGCAGGGCAATAATCCTCAGCCAGAGAAAAACGTGAACAGAGCCAACGCCAACGCAGTAAAAGTTACAGCCACCTACTGGATCTCGAAGGTTCGCGCGAAACTCTTCCTCAAGCAGTTCACGCCCACAATGGAGGAGCCAACGAAGAAGTTCTCACCGGTTGCCTTTCGCCCAAACGATGCGGTTCCTGTCTACACCGTTGATTTCAAGATTCCACGGGACAAGGAGGTTACGGTTGAGTACACCCAGATCCAGTACTCTCAGACTGTCTTCCTTGACTTTGCAACTCTCAGCTGGCCGCACGCTACCGTTGCCACTCTTGCCCCAACTGATCTGAAGCTGAAGCCCTCTATCCTGCGCGAGTAGACCTACTCATGTTGCCATGAATGAGGAATAGGTCGACGGACCAAAGATTCTGACGGAAAAGATGGGAGAAGTCGATTCTAATAGTAGCGGCCACTCAATGTCTACACGTTGTGAAAGGACTGTTGTCACCAAGGTCTGGCTAGCTGTGGCTCTTCTTTTCCTCTTTCCCTATATCCAAGGGCTACTTGTAAGGGCTACTTGTCACTATGTCGAGGAAACTCCAGAGTTATTCAATCAAGTACTGAATCAAGTTCGAATCACCAAGTGCTATGTGCCCTATGTGTATGATGATCTACGTTCATTATCTAAATCAGTGTGTGAGGAGAGACAGCGGAAATGCAGAATATGTGAATCTGGGAGACAACTTGAACTCAAAAGAAAAGGTGCACAATTACTATTCGAACATGAGATATATAGACTTTACGTAATGTGTTACATGACGGAGAGTAGTACACTTAACGTCTATTGGCTTGCCAGTCTTGAAGTGACCTAATTAGTTGCGTGCTAGAAGCGTGCACCAATGGGCAGTGCTATCATATCACTCGATACAGTTCCTCCACAATCTTGATATTACTCTCTCCACCAGGGTGCTGAAGCACTGGGGATGATGGATTACGATGAAGGTATACACTAGTGGTAAAGAGGGATTGTCTCGAAGGGCCTCAACAGATCTATTTGCAAAGGCCAGGTGCTAATTCAGGTGATGCTTGCTTTGATGAGATTTTGCGGCGGCAGCTTGCAACTTGACTCACAGGTCTTGAACACTCTAACTCAATAATCATTTCTTAAAATAACTTTTATTATACAGTTCAACGCAGTGGATATCGATCGATCATGACATTTGCTTAAGATCCCCCCCATCGATATGTGTAGCCAGGGCAGCTAGCTTGATCACACAAACAGCGTTTCACTAATCTTAAACCCAACTCCCATTCACTAAATTTTCAATCGGCATTGTAAATATAAGTGACAGTACAGCCCGTTGATGTGTCTCTTTCCAGCACTGTTTTGTATTGTAGACTAGTCGTAGGTCTTAGGAGTTCGTAAGATTAGAGTGCTTTGTTCTGCATCGATAACAATTAATTAATTACAGCATGCATTGCTGACAGCGGCCTTCTCAAGGTACAAGATGTGCAGTCCACGCGACAATCAGCTGTACGCTCTGACACCACCAGTGCTGTAGCTGACTGAAGCCTCAAAGTTGTCTACTAGCTCATGGCTTCAACGTGACTTCCTTGCGACTGCCACTTGCGCAGCCTGTTGGATAACTTTACCAAGAGCTTCGGGCACACTGAGGAAAGGCGAGTGGCTTGCAGTAAGAGTAGCAGTGAAAGAACTGGCAGGAAACTGAGATGACATGTCAATCTGCTTGTCGAGGGGCAGAGCCTGGTCGTCCTCGGTAAAGATGTAGCCCATCTCGAAACCCTCGTTCCAAGGCTCAAAACCGGACTTGTCTTGGAACGGCTTGACAGGCTGAGGACACAGGGCGGCGACTGCCTTAGCAGCGAGCGAAGGCTCAACACCACCGTAAAATATTGAATTTGGGTCTCGAGGTGAGATGAAGCCGTCCTGATGTAATAGAGGGCACGAGTCAGCGACGTTTGGGTCCTGTAAGCAATCCCTCCTGGGCTCCTACCGTGACATCCCACCACGGCTGCAACCCCACATTGTCACCTAAACTCTCCTCGGCTGGAACAGCGAAGGAGGCCATGTAGACAATCATGAGTACGCCGCCAGATTTATCCTGGGCAATGCGGTCTTTGTAGTTGAGTCCCTCAACAGCGTTCGCAACAGGGACGCCACCGTACGAGTGCGCCACCACGACGACCTCGCGCCCTGCGTCTGCAAGTCCCTGCAGCTCGGCACGAACAACTTCCGCATCTTGATCTAGCCCTACGTTCACGTCCGTGCTGCCGACGCTGGCCAATGCCACAACCGCAGTGGGGTAGCCCCGTTTGGCTAGGTCGCCGCGCACCTGGTCGAATATCCATGGCTGGTGCCAGGCGCCCGGAGTGAACAGGATGGTGGGGAGCTGAGAAGACATAACGTTGGCGGTCGCTTGGGCCATGGAGATGATAGTGGCCGAATCCGAGACGTGCGTTGATATGCCGGTGGCGGAAGTAAATGGAAGTTGGGTTAAGGAAAGAGTCATTGCAGCGACCCCATAGTCTATGCGGTCCGTAAAGCAAGGGCTTTCCCCCCTCCTTTCCCTCTCGCTTAGGTAACCTCAGCAAAATTGCGGACTCCCTTCCCCAGACTAGACCAGTGTCTAGCGACAGTGAGAAGTGGGCCACGCGGCGTGCAAGACTGCGGAGACTGAAGTGGCTCCGACCGCAACAACATCTGGGTCGAGACGTAGGCTATCCTTGCCAAAGTGTCTTCCGTTGACATGACTTACTCTCCATCTTTACGGCCCCCGAACGTGTATCAAAAGGTGTTGCCGGCCCTATGGCTATTCTAGCTTTCCTATTCAAATAGATAGATATAGCCAGCAAGCCGTGCAGCGCAATGTGGCAACCAGTATCTTGAGATTATGTCCCTGGACTGGTCAAGGTAGACTCATCAACTGTCTGAGAGCAAGCTAGGTTGATATTGTGCTCTGTAAAGAAGTTCTAGCTATCCTATCACGAGTCAGGATAGGCCGCATAGACTTTCACCTTCTGCATCATCTCTAACCTACAGGCTCCCCTACTGCCCTTCTTCAATGCGATTCCAGTAATTTACCCCCCTAGCTTCCTATTCCCTCGCTCGTTCTCTAACTTACAAGGCAGGCTTGGGCCTAAAACATGTCAGCACGACCTGTGAGTGGATGTTGCCCAACACGTGATGCGAATCCGTGCTGAAGGAATATTTACTTCTCGGAGCCCCATCACGAGGGTGAACACATACAGTTGAGCTTACTTAACTGCGGTACCCAAATCTTTCGGTTTCACCTGCCTTCTGACGACCAACAATATAATGGTCCTTCCACCAATGCCCCCGGGTATCGACCTCAACGAGTCTAAAGTCAACGACATCGTCGGTGCTCTCGGTTCTACTTGGGCACTGGCAGGTATTGCCGTCACGTTCCGATTCCTTGGGCGCCGACTGAAGCGCAATGACATCTGCGTGGAAGACTGGTTGATTCTCATTTCACTGGTATGTGTCTTATCACAGACTTTGTTTCTAAGTTGTTGGGAACAACGGTATTACCATACTAACGCTCATTGGTAATCAGCTCTCTGCAGCTGCCCATGTTTTCACAACTGTTGGGTATAGTACGTAGAAATAACTACCATAACTTCTATGTGTGCCTCCAAAACAATAACTTGCTAATAACTACCGACTAGTGATACCTAGAGGCACCGGCAAGCACCTGTGGGCTGTACAGCCCACAGCGCTGGAATCCTGGGCGTTGGGTATTTACATCTCACAGATCGCCTATATAGTGACACTTTCGACTATCAAATTGTCAATCTTGCTGTTCTACTGGCGAATTTTCAGCGCGCGGTTCAGCATCAAAGTGCTGCTTTGGTTCTTAGCTGGTGTCAACTTGATGTGGGCTTTGATAGTTGTGAGCATCCACATGTCTAATACTTCAGGCTGGCAAAACTCACCAATCTTAACAGCTCTCCATCGCCATCTTCCAGTGCTTTCCGGCGCAATATTTCTGGATGCGGTATGCACCTGTGCCCCCTAGCCCTGACGAATTCACATGCACCATCGACCCCAGGATATTCTTCAAAGCAAACTCGATACCCAGCATCGTTGCAGATGCATTCATCGTGATCCTTCCCATGCCCTACGTCTGGACACTACAGATGCCCAGGTCTCAAAGAATCGCCGTTATCGGGATCTTCGCACTAGGCGCTTTGTGAGTAGAAATATACTTCTCATTCAATATCTTCTTCTTTGTGCTCGAAGAGCCGCCTGCTGATGAGTTTGAGGGACATAGTGTCACTGTGGTATCGATTGTGAGGTTGCGGGTGCTTCTTGCTATTGATCTCACGTCGCCAGACGCCACCTGGAACTCCAGCGACAGCATGATCTGGAGCAACATAGAGGCCAACGTGGCCATTGTTTGTGGTGTGTCTGCTTCCTCATTACGTCCGGTCGTCAGCAACGGAGCCCTACCATCGTCGTCTTCTGGCTGACTTATCATGAATAGCATGTCTCCCTTTCTTCAAGCCCCTATTCACCTAGGCGACGGGCGGCAGGCCTAATTACTCCGTCGGCACAGGCGATAAGACCCTGAGTCGACCTTAGATGTTGAGTAAGCGGACAAAGCTCAGTCTCCCTCACCCTACCCCATAATAGCAGTTATCTAAGGGCCAAGAACGCGCGTCGCTCAGTGATTCGGTGATTCGGAAAGGGACCAATGACGGTAGTGATGAAGACAACCATTCCTTCACGCGAATGGGCAAGCTGGAGTCGAATACGAAAGGCGAGAACGCGGTATGTGGGTAAATTCTAGGAATGTCAACCGCAATGGGAATATCCTGGCAAGCAGGAATTTAAACTTTGGGTGCGACACGTTTCTCGGTAGATGCGAGATAAAATTTCGACTATTCGAGATGACTACTTGGCTAATCAGTTTCTGTTACACGTATAAGGCAGTGTTCCGAGTCAGCGATTTCCACTCAGGGGTGGCTTCGCAGTCTGGCCGGTTTAAGTTAAATCGCCGTCGCCCATCTTAGCCTTGTTCATCATAGCAACTCTGATCCGGCTGAGATGGTTTCCATTCAGCGCCTAACTTCTCGTTTCAAAACCTTCGTTTCAGAACATATTCGATTGACCATGTTCATACCCTAGAACCTCAGTCTTGAAGACTGTAAATCGGATTAACGGATCTTCCAGTTTTGGCACTTGGTACAGGCTTGGTTGTAACGGGCATGAATGTTGATCTTGATTAAGTTATCGTCCAGCCCGGAAGGAACAACATCTTTGAACTGACGGAGCGGGATCTTAATCTTAGGTTTGTCGAGTGGCGGGCATCGTCTACCCTCAATCTCCACTCTAGGTTTAACGCGACTCACGCTCGCGCACGAACAACTTGATTCCCATGCTCGTCACCGACCATCATGGCATTGCACTGCGCTGAACTTCATCAATTCCGTCAACAAGCGCCGATGGTTTAGTGGTAAAATTCTCCGTTGCCATCAAGCAGCGTCGGGGAGCCGGGGGTTCGATTCCCCCTCGGCGCATTGTCTACTCTGCACTAGTCATGTTCTTTTGCAACTATCTACGAGATTTCCTTTTCCTTGCAAGTCGGGTTCTGTCTTGCCCCTTGCACGAAGCCTCATCAAATAAGTTGTTATTGTTTTTTATTTTTAAAGAATAAAAGACATGTTCAAGCGAACTATAATTGAGTATGTTTAGGTGCGGGCTCCTAAATGGTACGCATAGTAGTAGGTCTGTCCAGAGTGATGGCGCTTGGATTATGACTAGTACGTCACGATGCCGATCCAAAAAAAAGCTTCAGCAGTTTAGGGCGTGGACAGAGGCCATCAAAATATTGACCGCATCCAGTCCTACACCGCCGAATCGAATCATCGATGATGATCGCTGGAGCAAGTCTAAACCATCATCGTTGAATTGCACTGCCTCAGGCTGCCAACGGATCAACATGCAGTATTCCATGTCTTGGAAGTATCCGTATTACAAAATGCGGAACTTATACGAGAAGTGTAAATCGAAACAAAAAGCGGGAGGGGAAAGATAAAAGGAGCATGAGAGTCAGGGTACAGAGCCCGTCCTTATGCATAGACGGATTCGCCGCATCGATGCCACAAACGAGCCCAATGTGTATGTGCAGTACGTATGGCAAAGATTACTCGAGGACGGCGAAATTCTAAAAATAGCCTCTGCTTTTGAAGATCGAACACGGCGGCGGCATATGTCGGAAACCGAAAGCCCAACGGCGTTTCCCGGGCATTAAGTGTGTTTTTAAGGCTCATGCGGATAAATGGAACGCATTTGGTTCAAGTCTTCGTATCCATTTCGCTGCCTCTTCCATAGAATATGTCTCTCAAGTCACCAGATCAAAGAAAGTCCCAGGCAGACTCGCAGTAGACATCCTCTTGAATGTCTTCTCCCACCGGCACAATGTGCACCGCCAGTTTGCAGCCTAATTGTTATTGCCCACAATTATACGTAATGTGGAGAGGGCATTGGGAAGGTAGTGGGACAACGGCGAGCAGCGGTCCACGCAAAGACCGCTTTGGGGCCCGGGTTACCCCAAGTTGTGAGCCGAGTTATCCCAGATTCGGATACGAAGACGACGTCATTGTTGCTTCGCAACTTCTTCGGCAACAATTCGAGCGAACTCGCCCAAATGTTGGCTCTAAATCAGTTTGGCGCTTGTTTTTAGGTCTTGTTGGATAGATTCGGCTCAGCTATCTCCAGAACTTGAAAACGCTCCAATGACAACTTCAGCGGACACCCGTTCCCGGACATGTTTTCGCTATTTCCAGTGGTTACCTACTACCGGTAGCGGTGTCTCAACCCCCTTTGCCACGACCCCTTGACGTGATGTTGTGGATAGAAGATGCGGTCCCCCTTGAAGGGGAGGTGCAGCATTGCATATGGAGTGGGTAGGCTGGCAATGGGAGGGATAAGTGAAACCTTAATGCATGGGAATGCAATTGCAATGTTGCTCAGCGCTTTTTTACGGTCGTATTCAAACACTGCTCTGCTAATCGTCGTAACTCGCCACTGTCTAGAACAGCCCATTCCTCCTTTTGGCTTCGCCGAAGCCTAAGATCACTGGGCTCAACAGAAGTGCCATATCTTCCTTGTTTGCTCGATGTCTCCCGCTCGCTCTGGCGACTATTAGGAGGACGTACGTGAGCCACGTATGTTTCAATGCCCCCCTGAGGATCACGTTCAGTTGGCATAGGGGAAAGCCATGCACAAAGGGAAACATCAGCTGTAAAGGAGCCAACAGTGTACACATAGCGAAGTAAGAACCCACCACACATAGGGCGGGATCAGCTCGGCTCCTCAACGCCGCGGGAGAAAGCTTGGCGCGCGTAAGGGGACTTTTTTGGGCTGAAAAGAAGCCTTCGGATGTTCATTATGTCCGAGGTTGGAGATCTCGTCAGGGATGCCAGACGCTAATAGTAGTTGCCCAAAATAGATAGATTAATAGCTACGGCACCCATCGTCCCATCATGTGCCCCATAGGCGGAGGATTTGTGGGGTTATCCAATCAAAACGCTGTAATGCTGATGTTCGTCTGATCGGGCAACATCAACGGCCAACCCGCAAACCCTTCATAGGGGGGTATTTCAGGATTTGCTGTGGACATATGAGAGTTGAACAAGGGGTATTGAGGAAATTAAGGCTTGAGAGGTTGTGAGCCCCCCCCCCCCTTTTTTTTTTTTTGAGCGGTCTGATGCGATGCTATTCTCCTGGAAATTGCAGTCGCGAAGATGCTGCATTCTCGGGCCAACCACATGGCTTTTACAACTTTAACCTCATCGCAAACTAGGGGTGTGGTGGCAACTTGCTAATTTCTTAGGCCGGCCGAGAAGTCGGAGTTCGGCTTCTGTAAGTTCTGCAGTGGACTGTTGCTTCGTCTATTTGCATGGCAAACGTCATGTAGGGGTCCGGGGCTATGACGTCCCACTGGTTACTGATTTCAGAACAGGGTAGAACACGAGCCTGGCAGTGTCGGGGTCCACCGATCGCCGTTGACGATCATCATTGCCCCAGTGGACAGCCTCACCACTCCTCGTATTATCAACCAAGATCCATTTACAGCAAACAGCATATATAAGGTTGCCAACATCGTCGTCCATACTTGTTTTTTTTTTCTACATCACACAAGCAACCAACTCCTCTAATCACCAACTCAATCAACTTAACAACACACTTACTCTCTAATCACCAACTTCCACAAACGCCCAACATGAAGTTCGCCGCTGTCCTCTCTTCCGCCACTGTCGCCGCCGCTGCTGCCATTAGCAAGCGCGACGTTACCTTCAGCGTCTCTGACTTCGGCGCCAGCTGCATCCCCCACAGCACTCAGTGCTCGTAAGTTTCTTTTTCCTGGTTTTTTATGCCTTCTGGTTTTCAGCGCAGTTAATAACTCGGCTTTCAGTATTGGCTTCACCGTCATCCAGCCCGGCACCATGGAGACCACCGGCGTCGAGTGCAAGACCCTCGTCACCGGCAACACTGACGGCACCATCCCCGATGTCAAGGATGCCAGCTGCACCAACTCTTCCCGCACCTTCGACCTTGTCCGCGGCCCGAGGGCATCACCATCACCGTCTCTCAGCCCGTCTCCCCCCACAGCAACCAGACTGGCTCTCACCTCCTCCCCAGCTCCGACTTTAAGATCTCCAACGAGCCCAACGCTGTTGTCGAGAGCTACACCGGTCCCGGTGCTTTCGACCTCGAGTAAACATTTCGCCACTTTGCACTGGTAGCGGGCATTCACTTCGTTGGGACTCAAACGGTTGAGCCTTGTATATATGGGATGGTGAAAAGGAAGATTGTACAACATTTGTACTCATAGAATGTCATCATAGAACTATTGATTATCCACCAAACATGGCTTTCTGACTCAGATTGAGAGTGAGCATTTCCAGATGTAAGTTCGAAGTTGCAAACATGTATATTAACTATATCGCTGCATGTTGAATCGTGTCTTTTGCAACCACACGGTTATGTCTGAGAAACGTTTGTCCAACTTTGTGCAAATGTGACATCTATTGATTGAGTTTTAAGAAGCAAAGGCAGCCGAGGATCTTTAAATGAGATTATACTATGACTGCCCAATTTTCACCACTTGCGTCTTGGTCACACGGCATTCAGCTTCTGTCTCATTAGCGTGAGCCCATAGCTCGCATTGTCACGTAACATGATTCTCAAATCTTCTTTTGAAGAGACATATTCCATTTTCAAGGATACAATCTAACCTCGCTAAGCCATAGCATGCCACTCGAAGATCAATTGCAAAGTGCGATCTATACGAAGAGCCCAAAACGCACTGCAAGCATTCGCAATTACGACGTCTTACTTTTGAACGCCGATTCTGGTGCCTGCGGACAAACTTCAGCAAGTGTTTGCTCAAGACCATCAAGTCTATTGCATATTGGATTACAGTAACAATTGTTGAAAGATGGGTTCGAATGACAGCACTATCCTAGTCTATTGTTGCCAAGTAACCCTTCCGCGGTAAATGTCAGAAGGTTGAGTTTCATTTGGCAACTTGCTATTCAATCACACTAATTAATGCAGCCAATAGGCATCGTTCTCAAGTCTCATGCAGGTATCTGTGGCTTTCCAAACAGACTGCGTGGCAGTGCATCTATGCCGAGGCATTCGTTCAGGCTGACATGCATACATAGAAAAGTCGAGGAGTCAGCAGCCGTCTTCCCCGCGACTTCCCTCATCCAATGGCTTACCGTTTGCTCCGTTACAACTTCATTGCATGATCTCCCCCGCTGACTAGTCAGCGATTCGACAGCCTGATTGCGACCATGGATCCGGTTTCTCTGTCAAGTGGTGTCGCCGGGCTCATATCCCTTGGGATCACAGTCTGCAAAGGTCTCAACATCTATTGCCAAGATTACAGATCAAAAGACGTCGACATTCTTCTGCTTGGACAACATGCTGGGCGATTGGAGGCTTTTCTGCAACTTATCAAAAGCCGAGCCGAAGAATACAACAACGTTAACCAGGCTCTCTCAAATTCTTTCCAGGAGTGCTTCAATGCCTGCGACGTTTGTCTTCAAGACTTTAGAACACTCAGCAACAAATATGCTCAACAATTGACCATGCAGGGTCTCAGGGAAAAGGGGAAGATGGCAATTAGACAATTGCAGTACCCGCTTCAGAAAGACAGATTCGACAGTCTTAAGTTACAAATGGAACAGTTTCGGGCGGCTTTTCTAAGTCTTTTGCTCTTAATGAATCAGTAAGTCTCTTTTAATGCGTTGTTGAGCAGAAAGTCTCGTGAAGGTTCTAAACATGCACAGTGACTTGACCAAAAAACTGCAGGAAACTACAAAGATTGAGGCTGCCAACCTCGCCAGGACTATTTCTTCCCAAACCAAAGAAACCCAGGATCGAATAGCAGCCATTATTCCAGATATGGAGACTGTCGTGGAGAAAAGCTTGGCAAAACTCGATCTTTCGTTGCAAGGGCGCCTTGAAAAGTTTGAGAATGCAATCGCTCTTACCTTTCAGCCTGCAAGATCAAGTCTGCTGCATCAGTTTCATAATCGATCAGAACCCCTCATTGGGTGTCATCACTACCATCAAGAGCCTGAGGAGATTCATCGCCGACCGCATGAAGGTTCTTCCACCCTTGACTCAGGAAGCGGCGATTCTCCCACTGCAGATACTGCCACTCTGCCGCGACCAGGCCAAAGACAACAACTCCTTACAACGGCGATATCACAAAATGAGCTCCCAATTCTTCAGGGCCCTTCAAGCTTCCTATGTAGTTGCATAGCAGGCTTACGGCGAACACGATTAAAATCCTTGACGAAACAACCACTGCAGCATGACAAGCAATGCGCGTTATTCTTTTTGAACAAGAAGAGTCGAAAATTCGGTGGAAATTTCAAATTGCTCAGCTTTTTTTTCAAGTGGAAGTTGACGATACAGTATTCCAGCTTCATCATGCGTGAGCTACACGTAAAGCCTAACTTCACCGTCCGAGCAATTGTGAACCGACGTTCTGGAGCTCTCGGTGTTGCTAACTCTATCAACGACAAAATTCGGTTTCGAACAGTGGGAAAGCAAGAGCTACGTGAGGAACTGTCGCGGGGTCTGATTGAGATCCATGACATGTTCAGGACTGGAAGGGCCTGGCCGACTGATGTTGACGAAATGGGCTTTAACCTCCTACACGTAGGCCAAGTCAATGTTCCCGAACGGCAACAACTCTTTAACCCAAAAAGCACAGATGGCTTTGCCCATGTTTAGTTACACTTGGGACATCAATACCGTTTATGTCTACATTGGTTTTTTGAAAGAACTAGTCTCTCTGGGGGTGCCCCTGAATGACAACGCAAATATTAAAGGGTCTGTGCTTAACTTATATGAATGATCGTCATCAATAAAGAGCTGACCATTGAACCAACTTAGAACCCGCTACGAGATCTTTTCTATCGCTGGGCAGACCACAGGCTCCTATCGAATACGCCAACTCATACACCTATGGAACAAGGAGGGCTAGCCCTGGCAAAAGAACTCATGAGTATGGATGCTCTGTTTGTTGACGGAAGGCAGTGTGATAAGCGTAATAGAGTAGATCAAACACTTACTCTCATTGTGTCTATCATTCACCAGTCTTTCTCAGACTCACTGGACTGTAAGTATGTGCTTTGTGGAACTGTCTAAAGTATAGTTCCACTACCCCACCTACACAACTACTCGAAGCTTGACTCCAAGCCATGCGAAATCACTATTGCATAGCGGATACCTACAGATGTTAAGTAAAAGCAGAGCAGCTGATATGAATAGTTTTCGACTACGGAGCTCTCATTCAGGCACTGATAAGAAAGTCTGAAATCGATATTCGCCGTCTGCTCGTCTCGTCGACAGATTTGATTCTTGAAAGATCTCGCAACAACCAAACACCACTTCACATTGCTATTTGCTGGCCTAAAGGCCTTGAAGTTCTTTTCGAGATTGCAAGAATCGCCTGTAAAACCATCATCGATGTCCAGGACTCGAATCGCCTAACTGCTATCGACGTTGCCATTGGTCTACAACAAGTGGAATCTGTCAGACTTTTGCTCGGACAAAACGCAGTCGTGGATCTTGAAAACACGAGTAATTACTTTGGATTCATCCCAGACAGACGAATTATCCAGTCACGTATAATATGTGAACTTCTGAGCAACGAACTTGGTTGTCGCAGAACACGCCTGCTGTCACTCGCTCTGAAGCACCTCTCTGATACAGAGATTGGCAAGCTTTTACTGAAAAAGGCATCATTGATACAAAACAACGCCACAGAGGTCATCAGACTTCTAAAGATCCGACATGTCGAAATTCCTCAATGTTACGCCGGAGTACGGCCTGGGACGATCTATCACTCGACAAGAATGAGCCTTACTCTAGCCGAATCTTTGTTCAAAGCTGGGTTCACTGAAGTTGACTATGTCACCAATTTTTATTCTCCCTTGATGGTAATTGGCCTAGTAGGCTTGCCACGACTAGGCTACAGCGTGGAACATCAACTGGCCTTGGTCAACTGGTTCGAAGAGAGGGGAGCAGATATCTACAGGCCAATACCGCACAGATTTTACAGCTTTAGTCCGGGAAAATCCCACAGGTTCCGGGTTATACACCGCCTGGCATATTGCCTAGGAATGCAATGGAACTTGAGAGTCTTTGAAAACGGCTCACCGACACGTCTTCCTCAGTCAAGCCACCAATCCGTACAAAGGATATTGGGCAACAACTCCAGAGATCCTTGTGTGTGTTACTGCACACTTGAGGGCTGTAGCCCGGCGTCGAAGTACGCCAAAGGCTACTTCAGTATGCAAGAACACGTTATCGAAACGGAACCAGACGATATCCCCAGCCTTAAATATCTACCCGAATCATCTCCGGATGAAATGAGTAGCCAGCATCACGAACAATGTGTGCACGAGATCATCCGCGTATGCACCTTTAACAGACTGGGAATGCGCCATACATGTTGTGATTATTGCAGCGGTTGGAATGGTGATGTGTTTGACGACCTCGAATACGACGAACCATATATAGTCCGCGTCATGGAGCCTGCAGAAGTCGTCGAGATACAAGAAGAGGATCGACATACAGCAGAGCTTCTGGAAAGGCTAATGGCCGAGTTTGGGAAGAGATTGCGGCGTCACCCAGAACCTTTCGACCAGTTCATTCATGATTACTGGTGGAAGAGAATGACTGAAGTTGAAGCCGAAAAAGAAGAAATGAATCATGAAGATCTTCAGGCTATGCTGGACGTTGGGGTGCGTTTGGAGGGCTAACGGTAGTCAATCCGAAGTGGCCCAGAACAATGCTGTGTGACCATCTGAGTTCATTTTTATTCCACTGTCACCATTTCGACACACCATACCATAGTTGCTTTGAGATATGGAGGGGTTTTCTTTTCTTTCCTCTTTTTTCTTTTGGATGTCGAGAGCGATCTTTGATGGCCAATCATACTTTGCATTGACGGGGTTTTTCGGCAGTGCTAAGGTTCAGCTGCAGTCTTTCGGGCTGCTAGACTTTTGAAACAGGCAATACCTCACAATAGAGGGAATGAGAGGATACTTGGAGGAGTTCAACACCCCTTCATCATTTCCGATTCCGATCTCCCCATCATCAGCGATGAGGAAAACTGACGCCGCCAAAATGGTCGCCATCACCGTACCCGTCCTAGCAACATTAGCTGCATCCCCTCGCACCTAGGAATCGTCTGTGCGCGGTACAAAGAATCCTTCGAGCCCTGGGCCGCCGTCTCGTCCTTCACCTACATCTATTCCAAAGGCAGCATCCCACAAACCCGCGACAACGTCCCGCACGCCGCCTTCCGCGCCTACATCCCACTCCGAAACATTGGACGGGAGAGGCACACGCACCTTTACCACATTGTCACCAACTATGATGCCCTCGACGAGGTCACAGTCTTCACGCAGGCGGACCCGTTCGATCTTCTGTCGCCGGCGGTGAAGACAACGGATGATATTGTCCGTAGGGCGTGGATGGTCGAAGAGGACGATGTATCGCCGTTGAACCCGGCCTTGTTTCACGATGTGGCGGATTGGGAATGGGTAGATTAGAACAGCTCTGCGCAAAAGCTGTGGATAACGTGGAGTCAGATCAAGACTTTGCAGCGCGCGCCCTATGCGCCGGGGGAGTTATGAACGAAACTTCTCGGAGGACGGCATCCGCCTGCTATTCGCGCAATGCACGGGGGTATCTTCGCTGTCAGACGGGAGACGATACGGAATCTGCCGAGAGCTGTATACCAAAACGCTCTGGCCGAGTTTGAAAAAGCGAACTCGACAAATCCAGAGGTCGGGTTCTTCATCGAGCGAATGTGTGCGCCGATGTTCTCGCGGAAGTACTGGTTGAAGAGTGTACAGAACCCTTGACCAAACAGACACCGTGAGAGCCTAGAATTCCGGTCAGCGCATGTAGACGGAGAAAACCAAAAACCATCAAATGAACAATGACAAAATATCACACCGTGTTCCTTTGGAACATGAGGCAAAAGAATCTCCTCGACGGGGAATTGAACCCCGGTCCCCTGCGAATCGTTTTTCAATGACAAGCAGATATCCTCACCACTAGACTATCGGGGATTGGTGGATGTTTTCATCCAGTGATAGTTAGTTGAGAGAACTGGCGCCGCCAGACCTTATATACTCCACAATCTCCACTTAGTCTGCCGGTTGGGTTAGTGTGGGCTCTTGGATCCGTCCAAAGCAGCATCCCCAGTCGCGATTGAACTCGCATGGTATCAATAATGGACGATAACCACTGCCTAAAATCTGTCTTTTTCAACTAGCCCGTTTCACCTAGTCCAAGAGGTTACCTAATTTTCTACTGCAGCAGAACCTTGACTTCACCCGCTGGCGCCTCACGAGATCTTTCCTTTCCATTACACAGGCGGTATGTGTTAATATGGAATACAGTCTTTCAGGAGAGAAAACACTACATCGATCACCATCTCCCAGGCCACCCTCATCCTTGTCCTAGCAGCCACCTTTTTTCGAAGAAGGCCAACACGTTACCTTTCCAATACATGTGGTCTCAACCCGCTACGAAGTGGACACCCGCGATTCCATCGACAAGCACCGGCGAGATCATCGAGAATTCCAACGAAATCGACAATTTTACTGACGCTGATTCCGACGAATCCGACGAACTCGATCTCAACATGGGTGGCAATCAGTTTGGCACTCCCAATGGCCAATTCGCCAGCGGCTAGAAGACTCTCGCCAAGTCTTCTGTCACTCCCAAGCCGGAAACAGTCGCAAAACCCCGTGGTTCTCGACGGTGATTTCTCCACCAAGCAACAGCTCAACAACTCGGTCAACGCTGTCCAGGGATTCTACCAGGCTTTGGCCAAGTGGGAGACCAAGAAGACCAATGAGCAAGAGACCATACATCTCTTTTAAGCCCTTCGCAACCTCGCTCCCGATGCCCCTGCTGTTCTCAAGGAATTCAGCAAGCAGGCGTCCCGGGCCCAAACCTCGATGTCATGAAGACGTCGATGTGGACTAGACCATAAAAAACCCCAAGTCTTCTTTAGGTACTGCTCAACAGCAACAAGGTGCTCTTACAAGTCGTAGTCGCGGCGTTCTCCGTAGTACTGTAGTACTCGGTTCCTTCTCAATATTACGGTGTGAAGTTTCTTACTTTGATTTCACAAGTGGCAAACAGCTAATAAGTCTTTCGAGTGCAACCAACTCACCCAGCCACTCACCTCGCTCTGACTGCTTTGTAGACTCCCCAGGTGATATTTGTGGTGAGTTGGGTGAGTAGGGTGAGTAATTAAGTAGTAGTTTCCAACTCCAGATTTTGTCACTAACCTAATCATAGCCGAAAATCCACACAACATCTGTAAGCCATCGCGGCGGGAACCCAAGAATCTTCACAATGACGTCCCAGCCAGCACATCTTAGCCACACCGCCCTCCCAATATGCTATCCTCAATTCCCTCCTCGAGGATGTCCACACCTACAACGCGCACCCGCCGCCCCACGGCAGCGAGCGCAAGTGCAATTTTCACGCAGAAATGCCCCTGCTTCTCAACCTGCCTAGCGTGCCCCTTGCGTAAAGAGAGTCCCCTGCCGACTTCGAGGCTACCAACGCCCACTTTTCAGCTCCAGTGCACACCTTTTTTTCATTTTTAACGCACTGCAAGACCTTGAGGACATGTCAACTCCAAGCTCCCAGGACGAGCTGGGCCTGATCCGTCAAGAGGATGGCCTTTGGCCCGCCATCTGCATCGTCAACCAGTCCTTCGACATCTACCTGGGGACTCGGGACTCGAACTCGCAGCAGATCCCCAACGACACGGTCTTCCAATTCGTCGTGCTCGCCTCGCCTGAGGCGCTGCAGGTCTTTCTCGGCGAGCGCGACGGCTCCCAACTACGGCTGGATGGAGCTTGGATGCCAGACCGTCACTGGGGGACGGTCGTATTTCTGAAATGGCTCAGCTCAAGAAGCATTTGGCCAAGCTGCGATGCTCCCAAACGACATCTCGGCGTCGTTCCGGTTTTTTGTCGAACCTGGTCAGCTGGAGCGTGTGTGCCCTTCAACACTGTCAATCTCCCGAGCGAGACCGAGACGCTCCTACGTTCTGAGCCCGCACTCAAGTTCTGAAGCCAGATAAACCTTACACTATCTATACGGGTGGACTGGGGAATTTCTGCTGGATTGAGGTTGCTTCCGGGTTTAGGACATGAATTCATGGCGAAAACCTCTGGTGCCTTCGCGGAGACAACCTCTCTTGCCTCACGCAAGAGACCGCTCATCTCACGGTGGATAGAAAGTGCTAGATTGGGACGGCGCGCCGTCAAGATGCATGGGAAGCTGTAACATGAATTAAGGGGTTGTTGGTTGTTGGTGCAAGTGTTCGTCGTTCAGGTAAGGATCTTTCGTCAAGAGGCGAATCACAACGTCTTTCTAGCGTTACATGGGCCACCCACACCACAGTATACCTTGAATAATTGCAGGGATGTTGTATTAAACAATTATTCATGCTCACACGGAGCGCCGGTCGACTCTACATTTTGGGAAAGCTCAGCTTTCTGGCCTTTTAATTGTTAACTGGTTCCCATCTGCTGTGTCGTTATTCCAGGCCATCCCGATCTCCATTACCATAGTTCAAGACCCTCCTTGTGTCAAACCTTTTTACAAAGTGTCGCTAGCTCTGCTCGAATTGCTCTATCCAACTTCCTGCCCATGGCTGTCTCAGACGATCGCCGACTGGCCAAAGAATTGGTGCAGAAAATTGCAAAAAAGCACGGATATATCGCAGAGGAGACTCTGCAGCATATCAATGATCTGGAGGCACGCCGCGAGATCGAAACTGCTTTTCATAACCTGGGTGTGCTGGGTGGACTCAGCATTATCACGCATGTAGTCCCTATTCAGAAATTTTTGAACTTCAAGTTAACATGGATCAATAGGTTAGCAAAGAACCTGTACTCGAGCAAGGCGCGTTTCATTTTTGAGCTCCTCCAGAACGCCGACGACAATCAGTACAGTAGAGCTGCAGCATCAGGCTTCGTACCATTTGTCTCCTTCCGCGTTTTCCCGCATCGGATTGTCATCGAATGCAATGAGGATGGTTTTACTCACGAAAACCTAATGGCGATTTGCTCGGTCGCACAAAGCTCCAAAACAGGGGCCCAGGGCTATATTGGCGAGAAGGGCATCGGTTTCAAGTCTATCTTCATGGTAGCATGGAAAGCACACATCCAGTCAGAAGCCTTCTCATTTACCTTTAGACATAAGAAGGGGGAGTCTGGGCTGGGCATGATCACGCCGGTATGGGAGGAGACTGATGAAGTGTTGGAGTCACCATTGACAAGGATCACCCTCTATCTCCACAACACTGAAAACAGCACTGCAGTGGCGGAATCACGAGAGGCAATCCGGAAACAGTTCGACGAGGTTCAAGAAACTGTCCTCTTGTTTTTGAAGAACATTCGAAGAATTCACATCGAATTTTATGATGACGACGGACGACAGACAACTTCCGTCACACATATGTGTACTCAACCTCAACCAGACCGGGCTAAGCTGGAGAGTATCTATACCATAAACGGACAGCCACAGAAACGAATCAAGCACTTTCACGTCACGCGCGTAAGTGCGACGAACCTTGCCAGAAACGACAACAGAACCTACTCCGAGGCAGAAGAGGCAGTCAAGGCGTATTCGGTTTCCGAAGTCGTCGTCGCCTTCCCGCTTTCGGAGGCATCGGCACCCATCATTGAACCCCAAGAGGTATTTGCCTTCCTCCCGATGAGGCCAGCTGGATTCAAATTCTTAATCCAAGCCGACTTTGTTACCAATGGAAACCGACAAGACATCGTCAAGGATTCTCTTCGTAACATCGATCTGCGCCATGCTGTTGGCGAAGCATTTGTTACCGCTGTTACCCAGTTCCTCGCACATGAGACATTGCGATATCGATGGGTCCAGTTCCTACCAGATAGGCAAAATGACTCTTGGGATTCGTTTTGGCTTGGCTTGGTTGAGAAGATCGCTACACTACTGAGATCCGCGCCCGTGTTTTATGATCACAAGGGTTTCGTCCCGCGAACAGTAACGGAGCTTTTCCGTATGACGCATGAAGGCCTTGATGAGCACGGAAACCCACTGTTCGACGATGGCGACCCAGCACAGGTTATTTCACGACGGTACAGCAGAACCGAACTTCGTGTTCTTGGAAGTTACGGGCTGCAAAATGTAGATTACTTGCGGACTGTTGACTGGCTGAGAGCGGATTTGGGAAACGCGGAATCGTCTCGGATGAAGTCGCCAGACACTCCAGAAAGCTGGCATGAACGAGCAGCAAACCTTCTGAATGCAGCTTTCGTCAGAAAGATACCTCAAATCACCGCTCACCTTGTCAAGTTGGACCTTATACCTCTTGAGGATGGATCGTGGGTGTCTGCTTCGTCAGTACCAATCTATTTCGCTCAAATCGACGGCTTGAATGTCCCAACTGATGTCGGGCTGAGAATTCTCTCAAGGAGAGTGACGAATAAACGGAGGATTCTTCTTTTCAAGTCCTTGGGTGTCACCACTGCTCAGTTAGGAATGGTGCGCCGGCATATTCTGCAAAGTTACAAGACGGACACACATCCAAATTTCACCATCGAAGCTTCCAAAGACCACCTCAAGTTTCTCTACATGACTGAAAATTTGGCTTTGGGAGCGTCCCCATACGAAGATATAGCTATCTTCAACCATCGTGGGAAATCTCAGAGGCCCGGTCAGCTGACTATGTACTTGGCGACCGACGACACCCACGGCGCTATGGAAGTATTCAAAGAGACAAGCCCGGGAACAAACCCTGGAGACGGCGCAACTGGTTGGACCGTTCCGTTTGTCAACAGGAAATACTTTGAAGACGAACCAGCAGCTCCGAAAGGCCGGACGATGTCGTGGCGTGCATGGTTCGGCGAAAGACTTGGGGTCAAGACACACATCGACATCCGGTTTACATCCAGTGTGTTTTCCTCGACATTGTTTCTTGCTGAGGAATCGCAGTACATCCAGAAGCACAGGCCAGATAAGTTTATGAGTTGCGTTGTGCAATGGTACACGCACGCACGCTTAGGGCAACTTGATGATCGCGAAATTCGTTGCCTCCAGACTTCGATGGTTCAATGCCAAGGCAAACGTAAAATTCCTCTGGAAGAAACTTACTTTCCTATTCGCAGGCTAACAGAACGCGTGGCGCGTTTCATCGAGGAGGGCGGGTTTTTCCCTTGGCTGTGGCTTGAAACCCGGGAAGTTCACGAGGCTATTCCGCCGAAATGGAAGCTTCTGCTGTCAAAGCTTGCTGTGGGGCAGCCTAAGAACGATCTGGAGTTTGCTCTGGTCATACTCAATCGTTTTATAGACGCTTACGTATTTTCCATGAATTCCACAAGGACAGGGCGATTGTTCGAATTGTATCAACACATCCACATACAGTACCATGAAAGTGACGGTCGAGTCGCTGCTGCAGAGCATATCAGGTATGAAGTAGTCGAATCAAATTCAAGCAGATTTCTAACGGCTGTAGAAACACATTTCGAACGAGAAGATGCATTTACGTTCCGCTGGGGAACGGGAATTACAAATGGGCTCTGCCTGATGAATGTGTCTGGACGGCACCTCTGGTCATGAGAACCAAATTCGCTCTGGAGCGGCTTTACCAACCTTGGCTTGGACCCAACGGCGAAAACAATACCATTTACTTGAACCTGTTCAGAAGCATGATTGGCATTGAGGATTGCACGTGGGCAATTCTCCTTGACGAGTTGAGAGAGCTCAAGGCCTCGAAATGCGATGACTCAGATCGGATTGGGACGATTTACAAAGCTTTGAATGCTTTATGTGAAGATCCATCCGTGGTTCATGATGATAAGTCAAAGCATGCACTCCCACCCTGACTGAAAGCGCTCTTCGCACGGCGATTGACTTTCTTACTCTAGATCACTCTTCGAGGACGAAACCCTGATATATGTCACATCAGATGGTGGGCTAGCGTGGCATAAACCATCTCAGTGTGTGTGGTCAAACACAACGAAACTGAGCGGAAGAGTCTCCCTCAACGACGAATACGAAGATTTGAAATTTTTCTTTGTCGACTTCCTAGGTGTCAAACCACTGGATCTCTCGATGGCAATCGACGACCTAAAGAATATTGCAACGAGGGCCTCCACAACGTCCTCGTAGATCAAGGACTCTATATGGGTTGTCAACTCCCTACTTTCTTCTGTGCCAAAACCCCCAAGCTCCCGAGACGTATTGAAGTCTCGGATCTTCCCCATCGCGCACCCCAACGACGGTGTCACGGTTGAAACCGTAGCGACGGAATTTTGCATCGTCGACCGCGAATCTCTGAGGTCATCATTTGAGAACAAAGCAAGATTCCTCGACTTTACACTAGAACAAGTTGCCCGGCTACGTCCATTTATTGAGTGGACGCAGTTGGAGGATAGATATCTTTCACGTTGTGTGAAGGAGATTACCTCCTTCCAAGGCGGAACAGCAACTCCCACAGCAAATCCGCAACGACAGATTCGAAACCGGGCCCATGCTCTTCTCAGGTTGGTAATACGATTAATTTGAAGGTCGCACGAACGCATGCTGATCCGATGGAAAGAGTTGCGGCACACTTCGAAAGCCCTCGTTGCCAAAACAGACAAGACATGGACTCCTTCTACGCTGTGCTGAGATCAGCACAAATTTGTGAAACCGAAGGCATCTCTTCGGGTCTCTGTCTTGTGCAAGGCGGGACTTCTTTTACTGTCGAGGGCGCGCAAACAAGCCTGCACATTGACGAGACTCCATCCGGTCTTAAGATATACGTGCCACGAGAGAAATATCAGCAGGAGTACATGTTCACCAGTTTTTTGCCACACAGGCTTCTCGATTGGATGATGAGACACCCGGTCACACAATTGTCTCAAGATGTCACAAAAAACGCCGTAAACACGACGAAAAACATTGTTTTGGCGCCGCCTGCGATGCTCCATCGAGCCCTTGAGGACAATGGCATATCGAAGGTCGAAGTTGCGAATGTCGACGAAGCTGTGGCCCTGAACACGGCTCTTTCGGCAACGCCAGTATCAGTTTCAGACAGGAGAATAGACAACAACACGAATGATCCGAGCGAGGACGAATCAGAGGACCCGGAGACACCCATACCCTTCGCGGCCAGCCCATCGACCATTCAAGATGCTGCAAACATCTCATCAGTTCATCGCTCGCGATTTGCTCGGAGTTCGGCCTGGCCGTCAGCTACCTTCGTCTCACAAAGTTCGGAGACTCCCTTGTCTGGAGGTTATCGGAATGACGCTAACAGCCAGGCTCCCTACACCTCACTTTTGGACAAGGTGATCGCTGCAGGCCGAAGAGTAAGGGCAAATGCGTTACCGTTTTGCGGAGCCTTTGATCTTGGCCAGTTGCACACTGGTCTTCAACCTAACGAAGGCGACACAGAACTCAGACTGCACTCGGCGAGTCAGCTAGAAAGAGATTGCAAAATCGGCGCAGCAGGCGAGCTCTATGTAAGTACTTGCTCTGAATTATGACTGTCCTCGACGACTGACTGGATCCGCATCAGGTCTTCGAGTTGCTATCTCACCTATCAGAAAACGAAGCGCCATTACCTCCATTACCTGGCTTTTCCAGAAACAACTGGCAAAGTAACATCCGCAGATACGTGACAGTGCATCCGGACTATGCGTCGATGGAACCGTGGAGCGGTCGAGAGACTTCGGACATAGTGTACGAAGACTTCAGCGGCAGGCTGACGTCCCTGCTAGTTGACAAAGGCTACCTTGCGGGGGAACGGTGGCTTTTGCGACCTCGTGTCCCCAAGTACTTCATAGAGGTCAAGACAACGACAATGTCTTGCGAAACGGCATTTTATATGAGCAAAGCCCAGTACCAGAGAGTGAGTCTACAACCTATTCTATAGTGTCTACATCGAACCGAGAGAAGCTGCTAATACGCCAAAGATGAGAAACAATGTCGTCGCAGAAGATAGCGACATATTGTATGTGATTTTCCGGGTGTATAATCTTGGGCAGGAGAAAATAGGTCTCAAAGTCTACGTTGACCCAGAGACACTGAGGTTGGCTGGACATTTGAAATTCACAGGAGAGACGTGGTCAGTTGTTCCAGGCTAAACTTGGATCAAATCCATGAGTCACGTTTCAGAGAAGAACGGTGTATTCTTTGGTTGTGATTGGGGTGCAAACCATAGTGAAATTGTAGAACAAAAGATTGATTGTCACCTGAACAGCAACTGGTTGGTATTGCTACTTCAGACTGGTTCTCAGCCACGCTTTAGATCGTTCTCCAAGTTATATAAGATTGCTGTCGTCCAAAGAGGGTGTCAGAATCTTTCTGGATATCGCCGCTGTCAAAGATTTCTAGCCACCGACTTTTGTTGCTTTCATTCCGATTCTCATTTGACGAAACTATTGAAACAAACCGTATACTGGCAGGGAGTACCAAAAGAGAAAGGCCAAGAGATTCTTAGCCCAAATGGCGAAGTGACTGCGGCTGGCTCTTGCACCCCCGAAAACAGCTCCACTACCCCAGTTCTAGCCACCAACGCTGAGGATAGCGACGAGAGTAAAGAGGCCGAGGATGCAGTTGATATAAAAGCGAAGAATTTCAAGAAAGGATGTATCCTAAGTTAAAGAACGATGCCATGCACGACCCGCTAGAATCCCTGAAGAATAGACGCAGCATCTGAGAGGACTGAAAATGGTCAACGTTAATTTGTGGATATGGGAAGATGGTTACAAGGCGTTTGTGCATTTATTTCCGTTTTTCTAAGCAAATTAACACCGGAGAATTCTACAAGACCCTTTCTTCCTGCGCAGCTGAAATCTGGTTTAATGACGTGGTGGGTTCCATGGTGTCAATAATGAGACAGAACCATTGCCTGAAATGCTGGCTCGGTAGTTAGCATGGCCGTCTCTTTTTCAACTGCTTCCGCCTCGCCTAATTCAGGAGATTTCACATCGAAACGAAAGTCTTTTCTCTACTACAGCGGAGCTTCGACTTCATCCCCTTTCGCTTTGTAAGATATATATTTTCCTTTTGTCGCGATGCCCTCACGCGCATCGCGCAGCCTTGTGAGATTTACGCCGGGCCCGGATTAACTATTAGTCCAGTCCCTTTGTGCAGATCCACCACGCAGGATACGTATTTATTTATTTTGAACAAAGTAATTCT